TTCTGCATTCACTTAGTGTTTCTCACTAACAGAATCACACATAAGCTAAAACAAATTTTGCATTATGCTCAAATTGTTTCCTAATATGTCAACTGCATTGAGATAAACTTGTGCTTTTTTACATGGTGTTTATGAGTGTTATAGGAGAGCTGACTACATATTAGGTTAGACCACAACTTGATTCCATCTTTTAGAAACTATACCTGAGGCACGAATTAAAGGAAGTACCTTTGTAGGGATTAGGGTTTGTGAACCCAAAAATATCTGAGATAGGTCTCAATTTAGAAAGTTTATTTTGCCAAAGTTAAGGAGAGGCCCATGACATAGCTTCAGGAGGTCCTGGTGACATGTGCCCAAAGTGGTCTGGGTGTGACTTGCTTATACACTTTTTAAGAAGATGTAATATATCAATCAATACCTGTGAGATGTACATTGGTTCAATCTGAAAGGTGGGACAACTTGAAGCAGTGGCTTCCAGGTTACAGGTAGATTAAAAATTTTTCTGATTGGCAATTTGTTGAATGAGTTACATTATGTTGTGTTGTTATGTTATGTTATGTTATTTTTCAGATGGAGTCTCCCTCTGTCACCCAGGCTAGAGTGCAATGGAGCGATCTTGGCTCACTGCAACCTCTGCCTCCTGGGTTCAAGCGATTCTCCTGCCTTAGCCTCGTGAGTAGCTGAGATTATAGGCATGCACCACCACGCCCAGCTAATTTTTGCATTTTTTTAAAGTAGAGATGGGGTTTCACCATGGGTCAGGCTGGTCTCAAACTCCTGACATCATGATCCACCCACCTCAGCCTCCCAAAGTGCTGGGATTACAGGTGTGAGCAACCATGCCACCTGAATGAGTTATTATCTAAAGACTTAGAATCAATACAAAGGAATGTATGGGTTATGATGATAAGGGGCTGTGGAAACCAACATTTTATCATACAGCCTCCAGGTAACAGCCTTCAGGGAGTATAGATTGTAAATGTCTCTTGTAAGACTTAGTCTGTGTTGATATTAATGCTGGTTAGCTTTTCCTGAATTCCAAGAGGAAGGAGGGTATAATCAGGCATGTCTGACCCTTCCTTCCCATCATGGCCTGAACTAGTTTTTCAGGTTAACTTTGGAATGCCCTTGGCTGAGAGAAGGGACCCATTCAAATAGTTGGGGGTGGGGGGCTTAGGATTTTATTTTTGGTTTACAGGTTCAACAATCAAAACTCAAGTCAGAGTTCTGCTTACTTAGACAGGGCTTCCACTATACACAGGGTGACCATTTGTGCCAGTTTCCGCTGTGGTACAGGCCTAATCATGAATAGCTCCCCATTTCAATATCAAAAGTTTCTCATTTAGATAACAATTTATAGTCACTCAAGCTATAATTAGTGAATCCCAGTTGTACAGTACTTGGGGGTCTGCAAAACAGAAGGCTACCAAGTCCAGAGAAAGATTGTTGAGTCAACAGGAAAGTGCACCTCCAGATTTTGGGAAACCACACCACAAGCAACTGTGTCTCCGACGTACACCCCCTTCTGGCCCTCACTGCCAAGGCCAGAATTTGCCTCTGAGATTTACCATAGTCTTTTCGTTCCTTATCAAAGAATTTCAATTAAAAGCATTTATGAGGCCAGGTGCGGCGGCTCATGCCTGTAATCCCAGCACTTTGGGAGGCTGAGGCAGGCACATCACTTGAGGTCAGGACCACTCTGAGACCAGCCTCACCAACATGGAGAAACCCTGTCTCTACTAAAAATACAAAAATTAGCTGGGCATGGTGGTGCATGCATGAAATCCCAGTTACTTGGGAGGCTGAGACAGATAATTGCTTGAACATGGGAGGCAGAAGTTGCAGTGAGCTGAGATCACACCACTGCACTCCAGCCTGGGCAACAGAGTGAGACTCTGCCTCAATAACAACGAAAAGCATTTATGAGTTGTTTCCTCAGATCTTTGCCCTTGATAAAAATGAAGACGAGTGCTTTGGAAATAAAAGGGCAATGTGATTTTTAAAACTCCAGTTAAAATTTTTCATGGTTTAAGATCAAAACAGTTTCTTTAGAACATATGTGCCAAGGCTTTATATGTGGCTAGTTGTTGGATTTCTAGTTTTCTTTGGGGCATTAACACAGAATCTCAAAAATTATTTGTTTGGAAAAGTTTAATTTCACTGATATCTAATTTCTAGAGATTTTCCTTATTTATTTATTTATGAGATGAAGTCTCGCTCTTGTCCCCCAGAGATTTTCCTTATTTATTTATTTATTTATTTATGAGATGAAGTCTCGCTCTTGTCCCCCAGGCTGGAGTGCAATGGCACGATCTCAGCTCACTGCAACCTCCCCCTCCCAGGTTCAAGCAATTCTCCTGCCTCAGTCTCCCGAGTAGCTGTGATTACAGGCACCTGCCACCATGCCCGGCTAATTTTTGTATTTTTAGTAGAGATGGAGTGTCACCATGTTGGCCAGGCTGGTCTCGAACTCCTGACCTTAGGTGATCCACCTGCCTCGGCCTCCCAAAGTGCTGGGATTACAGCCGTGAGCCACCACACCCAGTCTTCCTTATTATTTAATACCTCTTTGCTTAAAAGGAATAACATTACAAAATCAAATCAACTAGTTATCAAGGTAAAAGATTTTCAAGATAAAAGAAACTAAAAGTGGTTGGAAATTAAATTGATATTCCACAAAAGCTTTACACTCTTTTTGAAAATTGCATTTCATTGAGCTTCTTCACTAATTAAAAATGCAAAATACAAGTTTAGTTTGAAATAATTCTGGGTTGAGAATTACAGAAGAAAAAAATCTCAAGGTAGGGTAAATAAATTACAGCATGTTATAGTCAAGTAAAAACTATACTTAGAGGTTAACAAAACCAGCCATAGTAGTCATGGCTAAGCACTAGCAGAGTCTAAACCTAGGGAACTCAGTTGTCTGACCCTATGCCTGGCTGGGATGAACAATTCACCACCTCGGTTTAGACATCATATATAATAGAAAATTGGATCCAAAAAGCCAGAATGGAGGGTTCTTGTTATCAGTTTTAGGGTTCTAGGGAATATGCAAATGTTTACTTTTTTCTAATGAGTACACTGGGCTGGGGTATGGTTTGCTTTAACAGAGCACTGTCAACAGGAATTAAACTGTCATGACAGACCAGAAACAAGAAAATCTATCTAAATGCAGATGCAACAGGGAAACTAGAAAATATCCAGCTGCCCTACATCAGCTGCATTCCTTCTAAAACTGAGTAAAAATATTCACGTTCTTTAATTCTACTACTGTATTTTTCATGATAAAATGTCTGCAAAAGGTGACTGAACCTTTTGGACAAAATGAGGTATTTCTGGTCACTGTGACTGTAGCCACAGTGGGACACGGCACACAAACTGCCAAGAGTGAACAAAATGGCAGGGCACAAAAATACAGGCTGGCCAGAGGCAGTGGCTCACGTCTATAATCCCAACCCTTTGGGAGGCCAAGGGGGGCGTGGATCACTTGAGTCTGGGAGTTGAAGACCAGCCTGTTCAACATGGTGAGACCCTATCTCTATAAAAAAATACAAAAAACTTGCCAGGCACCACTGGTGGCACACACTTGTAGTCCCAGTTACTTGGGAGCCTATGGTAGGAGGACTGCTTGAGCCCGGCAGAGCAAGGCTGCAGTGAGGCAAGATTGCACCACTGCACTCCAGCCTGGGTGACACTCACACACACACACAAATTGCAGGCGATATAGATGTATCTTCAGATTACTCAATGGCCTTTTGAGTAACTACTAAAATAGCTATTTCAATGAAATCCTTAATACCTTAATTGCAAAAAGGTAGTGGTCCAACCCTGAATAGATTTGCCATGGTAACCAACCACAAAAAAATGAGGCCAAGTCTTGCACATACACCAAATGATCACTACTTTTGATGTAGATTATAGGTGGCAGCTAATGGGTGAAAAATTTCACTTAGAAAGCCCTCCAGGCAGGCACTGCAGCAGTGTGGGAAAAGGTGGAAATTTAGCACACCTAAGATATGGGTTAAAGTCTGGTCTTATCACTTAATAGCAGTTATGTGACCTTGGGTTCATTATTTAACACTTGAGTCTGTTATCAACTCTAAAAATAGGAAGGTTAAGATTCCCTGACAGTTGAAAAATAAAAGTGTTCTGCGCACTGTAAGATATTTTAATAACTAAATGAGGAAAACTACCATTTGAACATTGAGAAACTTGTATTACAAAAAGGCTAGAATCTGTGAGAAGCTTTAAAATACATTCCTTCCAAAAATTAAAAATACTTGCTTTAATAATCAGCACTAAACCCCTTGCAGAGCAATGTGCATGGATGAAATATCTAGCATCAACTACATTTGGTAGCAGACTGTAAGTGCTCACCAAATAGCTACATGTTCTATCTATACCTCCAGTCTTGCTCGCAGTGAGGCTGTAGGTGGAAGGCATGTCTCTTTCAGGTCTGGCCCTTAAAAATATCCTACACCATCTGCTAGTCTGCTTGCTGTCTGATTTGGCAATGTTGGAAACCATGTGTTCCAGATGGCATAGCTAAAAATGGAGGATTGCCCAGTCCACACTGGACATTTCATGAGCATAAATTAAATTTATTAAGCCACACTGACTTAATGTTTAATTGTAGCATAACCTAAACTCTATCATGATACTCTATATGCAAGGAATTGAGATAGGGTTGGAAATACACATGCATAAGGATTCATGACAAGGTTCCTACCCTCTTGAGAAAGAAGAGTTTTAGGATTCTAACCCCAAATTCATAGTTCACTCATTCCAGTAAAGAAATGTGTTGTTTCATCAGTATTTCATATTTGTCATCAATAAATATTCTGTGCTGTTAAGCATTATATATGTATTTCTGAAGCTCAAAGATATGAATGAGGTGGATCTTTATCAAGAGCTTCATGTTACTGACATTACAGTACTTCCTGAGCTCTCAGCAATCCATTATTTGTAAATGTTCAAAAAAACCTCAATCATTTGATTTTATATAAATCAAATAATTTAATCAATATCCACCCACTCTAATTTATATCCAGCTTGAAAAACACTGTATATTTAGAGAAAGGATTAGAGTGACCAGTTTCATTATCCTTATCTGCATGGGCCAAATCTTTGGGAATGCTTTTTCTACTAGATAATACATGTTCTTGAGGAGAGAAAATCCTACGCTGCTTTGCAGGTCAACATTTTGATGGTAGAAAACAAAATCTAGCAAACAATCATCTATTACATAGTACTTCACAAAGGAAATACTGCTAAGACTTATAAATGGAAGCCTAGCCACGTTACTGTTAGGAAACGAATGTGGCCCTGGAGCAAACCCATCAGTCCACGTTTTATGAACAGATTGAATGTGTCATTAGCATCTACCGTTGTTTATTACAATGTAGGTTTAATAGTTGGTCTTCCACTCAGCTCAGATTCTCAATAACAGGCAGCATGCTTATCTGTCTTCGTATCTCCAAGGACTGGAAAGTAGTTGTAACCCTTGACATACAGTAGGTACTTCATAAATGCTTATCAAAAGACTGAAAAAGGACAAACATAGAGAAAAGTATATTTACTAGACTTCCATAATCCATACTTACTTAAAATCCAATCTAGAAATAACATGACTTATATTAGGCAATATACTTTGAAGACCTGTACAACAGCGTAATCACAGCAGGGTCTTGCTAACTCACAAGTGTGTTCCAGGCATACATGCTGCAAAAACCTCTCTCCTGGGGTCCCAGGGGCTTTCAAATGTTCCACCAGGGGCAGTCAAGACTAGATTAACGGTGCTCTCTTCATCATGCGCACGAAATGTTTTCCCATAACACCATATTATCACAAGTCTATGAACAATTCTGGTTAGCTAAGGTAAGCAATATAGAACTCTTTCCAAATAATAGTATTTCAATTATGCCACGTAAGTAAACAATTTGCTGTGAACTGTCCTGTGTTCTAATCATTTAATACATTGCTTCTATAAGAAAATACTATTTGTTAAATTTTAGTCATAATTTAATATCATTCTCATTATAGATTGCAGATGCAAATACTTAATAGTGAACAAAATGTTTATCTCAATTTTTCTTTCACATTTTTATGCTTTGAAAATTCAGAATGGATAAAAACAAATGAAGTACAAAATATTTCAGATTTACATAGTGATAAACAAGAAAGCGCTTAAGATTATCAGGACTTACAAATGGAAGTATACTCTAGAACCATCATCTATCATGGCTAAATGTGAGATTAGCACAGCTGTATTATTTGTACATTGCAAACACCTAGAAAGAGATGGGAAACAAAATCTTAGCAGTTTTGTGTGTGGAGTCCTGGGTTTTCCAACAGACATCATTCCAACATTCTGAGATTAAAGTGACTGGGGATCGTTTTGGAGTTGGAATGTTTAACAAAAGTGATGTTGTTAGGTAAAATGTCCAACTTCTGGATCTATGCAGACATCAAAGGTGCAATGAGTCTGGCTTTCACTCTGCTGTTTCTTTCACACTTTAGATTTTAAAGTAAGTCTCAAGGAATTTTTCTTTCCAATTTGAGAACTCACTTTAAAATGGAAACACGCAACGAAAAACAGATGCTGCTTTCCAGAACTCCACTGTCATAAAATACAATATTTGCTAAAGAGATTTAAAAATTAGAATGCTTATTTCTTGCAAAGTACACCATGGAAAACCCTGGGGGGAAAATTCTTGACAAATGTATCCATTAACTGCATTTAAAATTTCTGATTGCCTTTTTTGACCATGTTATTGCTAAACAGCAGAACAAACAAAAAAACAAAAACAAAAAACAAAAGCAAAAACAAAAAAAGCCTACATCCCAGCTAGATTTCTTCCTTTAGAATATGGTAGTGTCTTCGATATTTTGTACCATGTGTAGTAGTTTAAATAGTAAAGAAGTGACCATGCATCAAGCTGAAGGTACTGAGCGACTAATGCTCAAGAGCTAGCTCTTTAAAACTATAAATATGGTTACTGTATTATGAGTATATCCACTAATGTCTCATAAGATACTCTTAATGGTATCCTATCAGCCCTGAAAAAAATGGCTGCTGCTATGAAACTCCAAAGAGTTACGTAGTTATGTATAGTGAATGGATAACACAAATAAGTGGCTTTTTTTTTGTTTTTTTTTTTTAATAATATGAATTTAAAATAGCCACAAAGAGGGTGAGTGCATGTAAGTGGCTGAACTGCCAGTATAGGGGAAGGTAAATGGGCCTAAACTACGATACCTAGCAAGGATTGGATCTGTGCAGGCTTCTATGTACAGAGACAAGCAGGGTTAGGCACTTAAAGCTTTTTGATGAAAATCCCGGGAAAGAGCTGAGCCTACATTTACTATTATTACTATCAAAACAACAACATACTTTTCATGAAACATGCAATCAGAAACATTACAGAGACTGAAGAGAGCCTAAGAGTTTTCTGAAAATGAAATGACACATTTTTCCAGAGTATCATAATATCTCAATTATAAAATTTGATGGTTTTACATTATCATATTTCTTTAGTGGCAAATACCTCATTAAAAAATCATTAAAAAATTATTGACAATACAAAGCCCTAGTTAGTATACAGATATTACTATACTGGTACCCATCTCGTAAGGAAAATATCACCATCTAGATATCTTAAATATCTTCTATCATCCAATATCTTAAACCAATTTCTTAAATTGTTTTATTCAAAGGTACTTTTGTTGTCTTGCCCCTATTCCTCTATCAATAGTCCTTTTAAAAATTATAATATCTTACATATACAAAATAAAAATCTAATGTCATAAAAATCTCAAAAATGTAATGTTAGTAGTGTTGATTATCTAAAGAACTCAGCTTCATGGAATAGCTTTCAATATTTATTGCCCAGATGTATTAAAAAGAATTCTTAAATGTAATGCATCAATGGTCCTAATACATCTGTAAACAGAATACCACTAAAAAAATTTTACTGGCATTAAATACTATACTTATGGTTGTGTGAAACTTTTACATCTTAAAGCCTCTTAACATAATCATGTATATTTATGTACAAAACATACATAAATTTCACTTTATTTAAAACATATGAAAGAGGTAATTTCAAATCACACTAAACATAATAAATATAGAACTTGCTTTGTTAAAAATCTACAGTATACATTCAAGTAAAGGCTAAACTTCCAATGCCAACTATATTTGAGACAAAATTAAACATTTACAATAATCAGTTTCCTAAAAGTGCTATTTTTAATACCTATAAGAGGAAACTCATTCTAGTGCTTTTGTTTCCATCCAAACATCTATACATTCCTTTATTCACAGAACCAGATGCTTCTGTTACTAAAAAATACATATCCAAAGCTTTTATATCCTTTTAAATAGATTTAAGATTTCAATTCTTTGGGGGAAGACGGGGAAGTCCAAACAACTAACTTAGACCATCTTAAGTTATTAGAGATAATTGACTTTATGACACACCCTGTTTCAACTTAGATGTGAAATTTGATGAACATGTTAATGAAAACAATTCCAGTCCACATGTCTAAGGTAAGTCATCTTTTTCTACATGAGAATTTGTGTAGGTCAAGGAGCATCCACTATAGCAACCTTCCTGTGATCCAGGTCTTGACACCACACTCCATTTTTGATTTGTACATTCTCCTCCAACCTGATTTGGTTTAATTTCTTCAGGAGTCATATTCAGTACATTGATTGAACTGTTGGGAAAAGAAAGGCAGATCTTAGTGACTATCCTCTCCTTCTTTTATACTGTACACATGCCTGGATGTCTAAGGTCTCATTGCTTCCATGTCTTGTGCTAATTTATGTAAATTTGGAGGACATATGATCAAAAACAGTAAAAAGAAGTGTTTCAAAATGGCGTAATTTATCACTTTTATTTTATCTATTTATTTTATTTATCCCTTTAGTCTACTTTGATGCATGCTGCCAAGTGAAGTTTAAGGTAGAGAAGCTTAAAGTAGAGCTTAAGGGTTTTGAAAGCTAATATTCCAAATGTTCCCGTTTTTCTGCCACTATTACTTATCTCTTTATATCTTCTTTCTTTACATGTCCACTTGTTAAAGTATGCTTTCATCTATCCATTCAGACAGATACTTAATGAGTGCCTACAGAAGTGGCTAAAAGACCAGACTCTATAGCAAGATGGTTTTGGTTCAGTCAGCCTCAAAACAATAAATCTGCTTAAACAGTAACTTTAAAATCTATGCAGTTGAGCTAATGAATACTTTTTTATCAACTGAACATGTAATTTTTTTCACAAAAACTTTTCTAAATGTACATTTCTTGTGACTTTCCTAGAACTTAAAGTATAATAATAATAATAATAATAAATAATTCAACCTCATAATGTGGCAATCTTAAAAAAAAATTAAGTTCAATTCTAAAAATCTAAGCCAAAAATCTAATTTAAAATTTTACTTGGAAAAAAAAAAAAAAGGCTGGGAGGAGTGGCTCACACCTATAATCCCAGCACTTTAGGAGGCTGAGGCAGCCAAATTGCTTGAGTCCAGGAATTCAGGACTAGCCTGAGTAACATGGTGAAACCCTGTCTCTACAAAAACTTAGCTAGGAGTAGTGGTGCATGCCTAGTTTAATCATTTGTACAAGGGATTCTGATGACCAAATTACTATAAATTTATTTACCAACACTTACAGTAATTCGGTCATCAGAATCCCTTGCACAAATGATCAAACTAAGTCTTGTAAATAACTTACGCACAAGTCTCCTTGCCTGGAATCTAAGGCACAGCCTTTATGTAAAATCCTATTCTACAGTGAAAGAACAATGAGGATGTTGTAGAAATTAGCTACAAATACTCCTAATTATTTTGTCGTAATATTAATATAAACCGAGATCCAAAATGCTTCGGGAGCAAGTTTATCAAATAATTTAAAATGTGAAGAACCATGTCAGGCTGCACAGCTTCTCTATTAGTCATAAAACTTTTTTCCGTTTGTTTTACTCTTAGAGGCTAGTTAACAATGAATAATTTAATTCCTTTAAGCTCCAAAATTATTTCTATGCCACTGATGTTGTTCAGTGGAGCACTCAGAAACAAAAAAAAGCATGTTTATATTTGTGTACATGTATTTTTATTTTTATGCTCACTAAATATTTACAATGAACTAGGTACTGCTTTTAAGTACTTTACATATACTAACACTTAACTTGCAACACCCTATGATTTAGGTACTAAATGCTGAACTTTATTAAACATAAAACAAGGTCTTCAAGAGATATTTGTCAAATATTTCACAACTAAAAACAATGATATAAAAAGCTAAATATGTAAAATATATAAAAACAACTGAAACAACTATGTTATGCTATCTCTTAGATATAAAATGCATTACTTGTCAATGGTGGCTAGAATTTGCATCTGTGTCTATACAGATAGTTCTGATTGGTCAAATTTGGAAGTTTGATTAACATTCTATGTAAGAAAATACTATGAGCTTACACATTATCTTTTGATTGTAAAATAAATAAACTTTCACTTCCCATATTCAACTCATCTACTGGTCTAACTTCAAAATAGGTCCCAAATTCAAGCATTTCTACCTTCACATTATGAGCCTAGTCCAAATTACCATTGTCTTTTCGTTCCCACTCCAATAGTGCCTCCTAATTGGATTTCCTGGTTTCTATTAGACTCCTACAATCTGTTTTCGACATTATAAAACAGTACTCTTTTCACTCTCTTAAAACTAATGTTTTTTCTATTTCCCTTAGAACAATATTTGACCTACAAATGCACACTAAAATATTCTGTAAATAAAATCCCAGATGTGTTGGGGGTGGGGTGGAGACAGCGAGCAGAGTGGGATTATGTATGAACAATATTGATCATGAGTTAATAATTGCTGAACCTGCGTCATAGGTACACATGGGTTCATGATTTTATCCTCTCTGTATTTGTGCGTATTTGAACTTTTACATCTCTCCATCCTCATCTCACACCTCTAGGTCTTGGTCAGCACTGCAAATGTATGAGGTGTGTCCCACCTCAGGGTCCCTACACTTGGCTAGACTGCTCTTACCTAGCTCTTTTTCATCCCCTCTAACATTTACTTGGAGTCCTAATCCCCGCACCTCTTAAAAGTCAACTACAACTTATAGTGTGTCCTCCTCCTCCTTTTAAAAGCTTCCTTTCTTGTTTTAAACTCCATCTATTTCATAATTCTTGGCCCAAGGGCCAGCTGGCTTCTTCAACCCTTAGTTCCACTCCAGTCTCTTAACACAGGCCGAGTTTGCTTCAGCTCTGACTGTTTTCCAAGGCCACTGTCTCCTCCTTTTAATTAAAAGCAAAGAGATTGCCACCATACTTTCTAACTTACCCCTCTGACCTTTTCTATTCCTCTCTATCTTACTAGGAATGGTCTACATGCTTTCTCTGCTTCGTTTAAAATTAATCTTGGAATTGGCGCTGAAGCAGAGTATTGGTATTATTTTAGAAAATGCTATAGTAACTTGAGATAGAGGAAAATACCAAAATGTAGTAATTAAGAGCAACATATGGGTTTCCCAGGGTGGAGAGCCACGTTTTTTTACACTGTCATCCTTGGGCACAGATTTTATCACTCAATATGAACAGGCATTTCTCAGTTCTTTGCCCTTCAACAACAATAAAATGGGCATGCCAGAAAAAAATGTTAAGATATGTACTCTACAAAAACTGTCAAAACAATATCCATCTATTTAATACAATTAAAGTACTTAAAATATTAATTCCTATAATTAAGATTATATTCTAAATTATATCTTAAATGTGAAATAAAAAGACACACATCACATGATTTACCTCCAAGAGGACAAGGAACAGATCTACCTGTTCACCATTGTATTCCCAGCATCTAGAACAGTGTCTTTATATACTGGACACTCAATATTTGTAGAATGAATAAATCATCTACTAAATTCCTCTCCAAAATCTCTATTGTTCCTAATACTACAGACATGCCACGTTCTCCTCAGCAGTGCAACTTTAGCAATTTTTAGAAATATGTGAAAAGATCACCTATAGACAAATACCTATGTTCAGATACGCAGGAACGTGTCTGGCAAAAGTCTGAAGTGGAAGGTGAAGCAGGAAGAGATTTAGTAAGTTTAGACATGCAAACTGGAGACCCATTAGATACATTGTGAGGCTTCTTTTGCGGCTGCCTCGAGTGCACTATAAGATTGTCCCGATCAGAACCTGTTGTAAAACAAGGAAGGGAAAAAGGCAGTACATATAGTGAGGCATTAAATATAGTGAAGGTAAATCATTAGGATGATTCATCTGCAGTTCTGAGTGAGGTAAGAGATGGAACAAATTCAAATTAATATCATTAATCTTGTTATCTTTGTTGCATAGTCCACATGTTTCAAAGGATCTTTTTTCTTTTTTTTTTTTTTTTTTTTTTGAGATGGAGTCTTGCTCTGTTACCCAGGCTGGAGTGCAGTGGTGCGATCTTGCCTCACTGCAAGCTCCACCTCCCGGGTTCACACCATTCTCCTGCCTCAGTCTGTAGCTGGGACTACAGCTGCCCGCCACCATACCAGGCTAATTTTTCTGTATTTTTAGTAGAGATGGGGTTTCACTGTGTTAGCCAGGATGGTCTCGATCTCCTGACTTCGTGATCTGCCCGCCTCGGCTTCCCAAAGTGCTGGGATTACAGGCGTAAGCCACCACACCCAGCCAAAAGGATCTAGTTTTAAAAATATTTCTAGGCTGGGTGGGGTGGCTCACACTTATAATCCTAGCACTTTGGGAAGCTGAGGCGGAATGACTGCTTAAGCCAGGAGTTCGAGATCAGCCTGGGAAGTATAGTGAAAATTTGTCTCTACAAGAAATTTTTTAAAATTACCTGAGTACGGTGGTGTGTGCCTATAGTCTCAGCTACTCAGGAAGCTGAGGCAAGGAGGATTGCCTAAGCCCAGGACGTTGAGGCTGCAGTGAGCCGAGATGCACTCCAGCCTGGGTGACAGAGCAAGATTCCATTTTGAAAAAAAAATTCTAGATGTAAATTTTCAAAAACTTCACATTATTACAAACTCACAACAAAAGTCACTTTGGGTATGCACAGTCTCCCTCTCATCCTCACTTTGACTACAGTAAATAAAATATTAAAGTTGATTTTTAGGCCAGGTGCAGTGGCTCATGCCTATAATCCCAGCACTTTGGAAGGCTGAGATGGGTGGATCACCTGAGGTCAGGAGTTCAAAATCAGCTTGGCCAATACGGTGAAAACCCATTTCTACTAAAAATACAAAAATTAGCCGAGCGTGGTGGGCACACACCTGTAATCCCAGCTACTCAGGAGGCTGAGACAGGATAATTGCATAAACCCGGAAGGCAGAGGTTGCAGTGAGCTGAGGTCATGCCACTGCACTCCAACAGAGCAAGACTCCATTTCAAAAAATAAATAAATAAATAAATTAAATAAAGTTGACTTTTAGTTATAATTAGCTCTAATTGGTGATTTCCAAAGTTCTGTATTAATCATACATAGTATTTTGTAATATGTAAATAATTTTATTTATATGCAAGTTCAAATTAAAGAGTTTATAAAGTACTCACTTCCTGAGAAGGCACTGAAAAGTTTCACATTTTCTGAGTTCTGGTGGTCAAAGGTAGTCATATTTAAAAACTGCTGCTTTAACCAACTGGCTCTTTCTTCTTCAAATGCCTTTCTCTACCATAACAAACCAAAGGAATAATGATCAATATTTCAACGTCCACACAGTTGCCATTTCACATGATTGCTCTAGCTATCTGTGTTTGCTCTCTGGCTATCTATACATACTTCTTATGTCAAATGAGTTAACCTAAAAAAACTAAGAATAATTTTGGCTCTCGTCTGTAATCCTAGTATTTTGGGAGGCTGAGGGTTGGTGGAGCACTTGAGCTGAGGAGTTCCAGACCAGCCTGGGCAACACGGCAAAACCCTGTCTCTACACAAAATACAAACATTAGCTGGGCATGGTGGCACAGGACTACAGTCTCAGCTACTTGGGAGGCTGAGGAGGGAGGATGGCTAGAGCCAGGGAAGTTGAAGCTGCAGTGAGCCAAGATAGCGCCACTGCACTCCAGCCTGGGTGACACAGCAAGACCCTATCTCAAAAAAAAAAAAAAAAAAAGCCGGGCGCAGTGGCTCATGCCTGTAATCCCAGCACTTTGGGAGGACAAGATGGGCAGATCAGAAGGTCAGGAGTTCGAGACCAGCCTGACCAACATGGTGAAACCCCATCTCTACTAAAAATACAAAATTTAGCCAGGCATGGTGGCGTGCACCTGTAATTCTAGCTACTCAGGAGGCTGAGGCAGGAGAATCACTTGAATCCAGGAGGCAGAGGTTGCAGTGAGCTGAGATCGCACCCCTGCACTCCAGCCTGGGTGACACAGCGAGGCTCTGTCTCAAAAAGCAAAACAAAGCTGGGCATGGTGGCTCACGCCTGTAATCCCAGCACTTTGGGAGGCTGAGGTGGGCGGATCACAAGGTCAAGAGATGGAGACCATCCTGGCTAACACGGTAAAACCCCATCTCTACTAAAAATACAAAAAAAAAAAAAAATAGCTGGACGTGGTGGCGGCCGCCTGTAGTCCCAGCTATTCCGGAGGCTGAGGCAGGAGAATGGCATGAACCCGGGAGGTGGAGCTCACAGTGAGCCGAGATCGCGCCACTGCAGGATCCATCACAAAGGGAGACTTCATCACAAAAAAAAAAAAAGCAAAACAAAAAAAACTATGAAAAATTTCAGTTAAGAAAAAATTACATTTAAAAAATAGAAATTCATGTTTCACCTACTAAACCAACCATCACTGTCTTCATATCAATTTTAAGTTCACACGAACAATGCAAAAAATGGAATAGAATATTAGCCTAACTTTTGAACATACAAAACATTACGAAGTTACAAACAAAAGAAAAACATTCTATATTGTAAATTAGTCACTTGAAAAAAAGGACCTATGACTTCATCAAGCATTTCTCTCATCCTCCAGCCATCTACCAGTACTGGTAGCCACCACCACTAAACCACAAGAGGGCATATGCAAATTATGTCAAACCTCCCCCTTCTGAACAGCTGATGAATCCTAAACTAAATTCTCCATCAGCCCTCAGGTCTTGCATGCCTCCCTCCTATCCCTCCTATGCACACCATCCCAGTGACCAGATGGAGAAAGATTCTCATGCAGGGAAAGGCACCTGGCAACTGGGAGCAATATGCAAAGCATCAAGAGTATCTGTTGGAGTACTGTGGGGGATATGGGCTCGGAAACAGGTAGGACACAATGCTGGTGCAAATGTTGTTCCCTGAAGATAGCTACTGATGAAACAGACATTTAGACTGGAACTGAGGAAATCCATGTCAGCTACTTAAAACAAGCAACACACAATCTTTCATTCATAAATATTGATACAGAATTATGCATCACCAAACATTTGAGAAAACTAGTAATATAAAAAAGGTCAAGATAAATAGAAAACTGACCATGGATAACAGATAATTCAAGAGATGAAAGAAATCTTTAAAAAAAATGTAACACATATTATCAGACAGATTAATAAACATCTGTAAAATATCATCACGCTATATAAAGAAAAGCAAAAATTAGGGACATTAGAAAATTTTAAAGATAAATTCTGAAACAAAAACTCAGTGGCTAAAGCAAATAATAAAACTGACCCTGAAAGGCCAGTTTCGTGATCTCTAAGATAAGGGTAAGAGAATATTCCAGAATTGAGAAAAGTCAACCTGTAGATATATATTCAGAAGGCCAAATGCGTTTCTAACAAAAGTTTCAGAACACAGAGAAGTCAAAGAAGGAAAAAATAAAGATGAAAATTTCCCTAAATTAAAGAAATACAGAATCTTTAGGCTGAAAGGAACTCTCCAGACATATCCCGGTAAAATGTCAACTTTAAAAAAATACCCAAGCTTCCACAGAGGGAAACAGAAAACAAAACACAGATATCTACAAAGTAACACAGGTATATTACAATCAGGCTTCTCATCAGTAAAACTAAACACTAGGAGAAAGGGAATAATTCAAAGTTTTGAGGGAAAAAAATGTAATCTAAATTCTACACCCAGTCAAACCAATCATGTATGAATATATTTTTGAATATTCCAGAATTCAGAATGTTTATAGCTCATGCACTATTTATAAAAAAAAATTACTCAAGAAGGTAATACAGCAAATTGAATAGAAACCCAAGAAAGACAGTAACATGAGATATAAGAAACATGGCAGCCGAATCTGATTCAGGAAATCACAAAGGAAGCTACAGAGAAAGTCAAAGAATTCACTAGATAGTGATACATCTCTCTGGGTGGCAAAGTCTTAACAATACAGAGTATTTTCTGTGTCAAAACATATTTGGTTATAGAATTATATTTACATAATTATAATGTTATCAATTTTCTTTCCTGGTTTTCCAACTTTGAAGTCTCAAGTTTAGACAAAGTACTTATACCTGGATTGTATTGAAGGACAAACTATAAATGTGATAACAATGAAAAATAGTATCACAAACAAAAACTGCAAAGTAGGGGAGCAAGAGAGGTAGAACAAGAGTAACTATAAGAATGTCCTCAGCTTTCACTGCAGGGATGAACTGACACTGACTGAAGTTGAACAAACATGAAATGAAACGGAAGCTTCACATTATTTCCTTAAAGCAAAAAAAAAAAAAAAGGCAATCAGAAGAACAAAAGGAACAACATTATGAAGACATGAGATGTGAATGAGGAAGGGTGTAGGCAAGAGATACAATAAGGACACAGAATTCCTTATCTTTCATAGCAGAGAATCAATAAACTGATAAAGAAGAAAACTTGAAATACATTAAAAGTTAAAATAGTACTTCCTACAAGAATTTCCAACAGATACTTTTAACAAAAGTTACCTCTAAGGACTGAAACTGGGGATGGGAAAGGAGGAGACTTTCTCACTTTGTAGCTTTTTCTATGAGTTTTGTTGATTTCTTTTAACTATAGTCAGACATTACTGCTACAATTTTTGAGGGGGGAATATGTTAGAAGACACATTGCTAAGTAAAAAATGCAAGCTACATGGAGAAACCCTGTCTCTACTAAACATACAAAATAGGCCGGGTGTGGTGGCGCACGCCTGTAATCCCAGCTACTCAGGAAGGCTGAGGCAGGAGAATCGCTTGAACCCAGGAGGCAGAGGATGCGGTGAGCCGAGATCGCGCCATTGCACTCCGGCCTGGGCAACAAGAGCAAAACTCCATCTCAAAAAAAAAAAAAAAAAAAAGCAAGCTGTAGAGCGTATATATAACAATAGTGGACTGGGGAGAAGAGAACTTAATTTTTTTATTATACTTCCTTTTTAAACAGCAACGCAGTCTTGGTTGCACTGTCTTCTGACACCACACCTACTGACAGTGGATGAATGATGGATAAAAGAGATTTCTTGTGGAAATCTCTTAGCAGGAGAAAGCCAATCTGAAAGGAGTAATAAATGCTTATAGCATTTTTTTTTTCTTAGTTCAGTTCTCAAATCTGGTAAGGGGAAATAATCCCATTCTATATGCTCAGCCTCCCTTTCATTTCAAATTATTTATGAGATCACCAGTAAATATTTTAGAAAATAAGTAAATAGCAAGAAACCAAAGTAGACCTTAGAAGCATTCTACTAAGGCCCACCCACCCCCAGTATTTTCAAAAGCACTACCATTATTTAAAATACCTCCAATCCCAGGCGAATAGCGGCTTCTGTAAAGCTTCGTCTTTCTCTCTCAAAATTCTTTTTCTGCTCTTTAAAAAGCGACCATTCTTCTTTGAGGCGTTCCTTTTCTTCCAACAAATAACAGTCTCGTAATAGTGAAGTGGTATCATCATCACATGCAGTAGCAAGCTGCTGCTATTAAAATTTAAAACATAGTAAGTTCCTGAGGGGCCCTGCAACACTCCAACAACTTGAAATGAAAGCAAAGGAAGGCGGGTCAAACTTCAGGGCAGGAACAGAAATTATTAAGAATCCAAAAGTCAAACGAGAATTCCCATTTCCCAAAAGCTACGACCCCAACTAGCACAGTATGGACTATTTAAGGAATGGTACACAACGTATCTGTTAGCAGGAAACATAGACTAGAAAACTGTCAAATACCAGGGCCTTATGAAATAAAGGAATACAAATCTGCTAAGGTTCAGCACAATTCTGGCTTTTCATGGAGAACAGTTTTACAAGGTAATTCATATTCACCTGCAAAAGCTGTTGCTGAGTTTTAATCATTTCTTTACACTGCTGAATTTCTAACTCAAGTTTTTCAGTTTCTTGTTCGTGGTCTTGTCGTGAGATTACATCTTCATCATTAAAACCTTCCAGGTGTACCTTTGAAACTAAGACAAAATCAGTAAGTTGACATAGGTTTTATAGCCACCATTTAGTTTACAGTGTTTTTACACATATCGTTAAAACAAGGGCTCTCAGAACTTTTATCTTTCTGGAATTTTATAGGTTTTCTAAAAAGTAGTTATGTCCTTTGGCTTTTTAAAATTTCATAAGCTATAACAAAATTACATTTATATTATTTTAACATTATAAAAAATTTTTAAGCAGCACAGCAACTACAGGAGTTCATGACAATTATATATTTGTACAATTTTAAGACTAAATGATATGCTTACAAACGGAGCTCTATTGCCAACATTTAATTTGTAATCCATATTTATTCAAGATTATGTCCTAATTAAAAACAGACAAAATGGCCATATTCAGAGAAGAGAAAAATAAAATCATTATGTTTTTGTTGACACTGCTTCAAAGATCAATGACGTGTCACAAATCTTGCTCTCAAATATTAAATTCAACAAACACGAAGTCCAAACACACTTGCTATTTGCTAGTAGACAGCACTGACTCAAATGAACAAAATCTCGAGTATATTCATTTTGGTGTTGTAATAATAATTTTGCTGATTGCTCTTTACTACTTAACACAATGGCATTGAGTTCATATTTTGACAATTTAAATTTTTTCTTTAAATAGGCTTCATTTACTGAGCAGAAATCTTCATTTTCCTAATTTAAAAGCAAACTTTACCAAGTAGAAAATATTAAGAATATATTCATCAATGTAGGGCTATGTATAAGGAAAAAGAATAATGTCTGAAATAATAAAGTGAAAAAAGCACACTAAACAAAAATATAGGTGATATTCAATTTTTAAAAATTTTTAAAAAATTAAGTATCTTGCAAATCCATAGAGGAAAGTCTAGAAAAATATGCACCAAACTGTTAAGTGTTATATGTATGGAATGGAGACCTGGATATTCTACTTTATATACTTCCAAATTAATATTTTGCATTAAACATCTATTATTTTAAAAATAATTTTAAGTGAATTACTAGGAACACAGTAATCTGCAAGCATCTAGAAATAAGCAAAAAGTTCCTATCTATACTATGATAAGTATTTCTTGATTTTTTGAGAGTCAGTAAAAGAGACTCAGTTTTCTCTCTTTTTTGGGGGGGAACAGGTGGTGTGTGGTTACATGAATAAGATCTTTGGTGGTGATTTCTGAGATTTTGGTGCACCCATCACCCAAGCAGTATACACTATATCCAATGTGTAGTCTTTTATTCCGACTCAGTTATCTTTATTCGATCGTATACTGCATCCAGAGCAGATGGATCCATGATGTCCTCTTTTCAAACATTCACTCTGAGACCAAAGTGTATTTTTCTCAGTGAGGTTCAAACCTCACATCTAAATGTATGTAAAATCTCGGCTGTGCACTGTGGCTCACACCTGTAATCCGGACACTTTGGGGAGGCCAAGGCAGGTGAATCACTTGAGGCCAGGAGTTCAAGATGAGCCTGGTCAACACAGCGAAACCCCATCTCCACTAAAAACACACCAAAAAATTAGCTGGCTGTGATGCGCGCCTATAGTCCTAGCTGCTCAGGAGGCTGAGGCAGGAGAAATCACTTGAACCTGGGAGGCAGAGGTTACAGTGAGCCGAGATCGCACCACTACACTCCAGCCTGGGTGACAGAGCAAGGTTCTGTGTCAGAAAGTAAAATAAAATAAAATGAAAAAATAAATGTATGCAAAATCTTGCTTTCAAACCACCAAACTGAAGTATAGTACTTTAGCTCTGAGCCTACAGATGTAGCTTTCTAAGTGACTGAAAATCAACACCTTATCAAATGTCACAACTCACTTTACATGCAGAGAAGCAGTGGTTACCTTGGTTATCAAGTTTTTCTACATGACTTTTCAAAATTCTCCACTGTTTTCTGATGCTGTTTGTAAGCTGCTCTCTCACAGTTTCACAGGAAAGGTCCCACATACTCTCTCTGCTCAGTTCCCCGGCATCTTCTTCAACATCAGAAATAACCTACAAGTGGAGAGAGATGAAGAGGAAAGGCTACCACCTTACAATGGCTTTAGATGCTCAGGCAAGTAGTCTTCAGTTTGATTTCCAAAGGGAGCCGCATCCGAAGCATTTCTGTGCTGTGTCTTATGCACACATGACCCAGTATTTAACATAAATGTCTTGGAGAAAAAAAAAAAAAAAAGACAGAGACTCCTAAATTCAGCTCTCTCTAAACCTGAATTTGAATCCAAATACAGTTAATGACAAGAGTCATGAAGCTGTCTGAGGAGATATCAATACCTGTCTAATGTGTTGGATGTTTTCACACGTTATTTAACCCTCAGCTCATTACAATGTAGGAAAACTGAGGCTTAGAGAAGCAGCATTACAACTAAGAGGCAGAACTGATATTTGACATTAGATCAACTTGTTTCTAATCCTAGGCTGCTTAAAGAAATGCATTTGTGAAATAATCTCTGAAGTATTTAATAGAAGCAACTGTTAATTCTATTTTCCTCATGTACTTTTGTATACAACTGGAGATATTTTTCTTTGTATTCTGCCAAAACATGAAATCATAAAGAAGTAGCAAACTTTACTGATATATGATCATACAGAATCAAAGCAGGATAAAGAACATGGGGAAACAATACTAAAATGGATATATGTCATAATAACCCACATCTACATAAAGTAGTTCTAATTTGTCATTAATTGGAAGGTAGAAAGATATGCTTCACTAATTTGAACAATAAAAATCTTGCTGGGGTAAAAAGGAAGATAAAAGCTGAAAAGAAAGAAGGGCTGATCCGACTGCTCTCACATAGAGATCAGCAGGATGAGGGAGCAACTGAGTCTGAAGAACTCTATCAGTAGTTGAGGTCAGCAATGGCTAGTAGAGGTCAGGGATTCGGAGGCAGAGCAGACAGGGGAATGGCCCAGGATCCAGCTCATGGTGATTCTAGCCCCTTCCAATCCTCAAAAGCTACTTGCCAGTAACTGTTCCAAGGAAGCACAACTTGTCTTCTGAACATTTTAAAGCCTATTAGAATACTACGAAACTGTTAGAAAAATTATTGGCCAGGCGCAGTGGCTCACACCTGTATGTAATCCCAGCACTTTGGGAGGCCGAGGCAGGCAGATCACAAGATCAAGAGATCGAGACCATCCTGGCCAACATGGTGAAACCCTGTCTCTACTAAAAATACAAAAATTAGCTGGGCGTGGTGTTACATGCCTGTAGTCCCAGCTACTCAGGAGGCTGAGGCAGGAGAATCGCTTGAACCCGGGAGGTGGAGGCTGCAGTGAGCCAAGATGGCACCACTGCACGCCAGCCTGGCGACAGAGCGAGACTCCGTCTCAAAAAAAGAAAAATGAGTAATTATTGCACATTTCTCAGATTGAACAGAACTCTGTAACCACAAAATGAAAATAAAAAATTTGGCTGGGCACAGTGGCTCACACCTGTAATCCCAACACTTTGTTAAGGCCAAGGTGGGATGACTGTTTAAGCCTAGGAGTTCAAGACCAGCCTGGGCAACAAGACCCTGCCTCTAAAAAACCAAAAAACAAAACAACAAACTCATTTTACCTGAATTTTCGGTATATGTTTTAGCTACAAGTAAGTAGGTCAAATAATAAATGGAACCTGGATGCTACCTAGGCATTCCAACATTACATCTTATTTCTCTTGCTATAATGCTTCAAAAATCTTTCCCTACAAAAATGAAAGAGAAAAGGGAGCTAGAAAAATGGATCTTTTAAAACTAGAAAATATATTCAAGAGATCATTGTTAGTCCACTTAAACATTTGAATTATGAAGAATTATACAGGATACTACCCACTGGCTGAGTAATGGGGGTGAGGAAGGTTTAATCACTGGAGAAAGATCTCCCTGATTTACCACATACTTTTGCTGACTGAAATCTGGTGATGAGACGTTAAGGTTGAACCAAAAACTGAAGACGCTGCGGGAGTAACGGACACTATGCTAACCTTTAAGAAGTATTAGTGAATGTTAAGAACTGACTAGAAGTGACAGAGTTTGAGATAAAAAGGTTAACTACATATAAGAGGTCAAGCAGGCCTCAAAATGGAGAATGTAAAAGATATTCGGGAATTCAAGACCAACCTGACCAACATGGAGAAATCCCATCTCTACTAAAAGTACAAAATTGGCTGGGTGTGGTGGTGCATGCCTGTAATCCCAGCTACTCCGCAGGCTGCGGCAGGAGAATCGCTTGAACCTGGGAGGCAGAGATTGCGGTGAGCTCAGATGGTGCCACTGCACTCCAGCCTGGGCAACAAGAGCAAAACTCCGTCTCAAAAAGGCCTGGTGCGGTGGCTCACGCCTGTAATCCTAGGACTTTAGGAGGCCGAGGAGGGCGGATCACGAGGTCAGGAGATTGAGACCATCCTGGCCAACATGGTGAAACCCCGTCTCTACTAACACATACACACACACACACACACACACACACACACAAATTAGCCAGGCGTGGTGGCGGGTGCCTGTAGTCCCAGCTACTCGGGAGGCTGATGCAGGGGAATCACTTGAACCCGGGAGGCAGAGCTTGCAGTGAGCCAAGATTGTGCCACTGCACTCCAGCCTGGCGACAGAGCAAGACTTTGTCTCTTAAAAAAAAAAAAAAAAAAAAAATTCAAGTAATATTTTTTAAAAAAACTTTAAGGAATAAAAAAGAAAAGATAAGTGCTGAGATGGGTTTATCAGCTGGACTGATGCGTGATACCACAAAATAAATAATCCTCAAATACAGGTTTAAAAAGTAAGTTCTGGTACCTTGCTGTTTGTTAACTAGCATTTTCCATCAACATTATTTTCACATTTTAATTGCTAATGTGAACTTGCTGAAACCTAAGATTTTAACTTATATGTAAAGCAATTAAGTAAAATGAACTTTTCACCATTATGTGATTTTTTTTTTTCAGACCTCTGCATGTATTACTCCCGTTCTCTGGAATGTTTTCTCCATGTTTCTTTTTTTTTTTAACCTCAAAAATACTTATTTTCTAAGAAGCAGTGAAAATGTCACTTTCTCTGTGATGCCTTGATTGCCATAACTGTTCTGCACACTGCACCACCTTATTACAGCACCTAATAATGTAATAATCAAGTCATCATCTCCCAAAAAGCTTCTTTTTTGAAGGCTGGGGTTGCTCTATGCGCCCAGGCTGGATTTGAGGCGGAGTTTCGCTCTGTCGCCCAGGCTGGAGTGCAGTGGCCAGATCTCAGCTCACTGCAAGCTCCGCCTCCCGGGTTCACGCCATTCTCCTGCCTCAGCCTCCCGAGTAGCTGGGACTACAGGCGCCCGCCACCTCGCCCGGCTAGTTTTTTGTATTTTTTAGTAGAGACGGGGTTTCACTGTGTTAGCCAGGATGGTCTCGATCTCCTGACCTCGTGATCCGCCCGTCTCGGCCTCCCAAAGTGCTGGGATTACAGGCTTGAGCCACCGCGCCCGGCCAAAAAGAGCTTCTTGAGGGAAAAAGTCAAAATCTTTTTAGCCTTTCCTTTCCAGAGACTAGAACATAAAGAACACTCAATAAATTTATGAACTGATTATTTGGTTCCCAAAGTTAACGCAAGTTTCACTCTGTGAAAAGTAGAGTACTTAATACTAAAACAACTGAAAGGATATTTGACATAGTGGTTATGATCGTGAGCTTTGGAGCAAGGCAAACTTGGATTCAAACCCTAGCACTCTCACGTGTGATACTGGGCTACTAAGTATTATGCCTTAGTTTCCTTATCTATAAAATGGGGATATTTATAGTATCTAAATCATCAAATTATATGAAATAATCTCATATGTTACAAGAAACATTATAAAATGAGACAATGCTCATAAAGCACTTCTTACAGTGCTTGACATGTATTAATTTCCTGAAAAATCATCTGCAGCATTTTTCAGGGAATGTCTGAAAACATATAGGAACAGTCTTTTTGGTTGTCACGATAACTGAAAGTAGCATAGCAGTGAGTGTCCTATTCAAAATACCAATAGTGTCCCACTGGGAATGCCTATCACATGTTTTAATTATTCTTATTAGCAATCTGAAGACTATATTAGAGAGGAAAGAGCCACTTACAGTTCCTGTACTATCATCTACTCTTTCTCTAGGTTTCTTCTTTTGGGGAGAAAGAAGGGAAATCATTTCCTTTTTCATCTGTTGAAGAACCTTCTTAAGTTCAGCATTTTCCATTAGGATTTGTTTCTGACGATATTCATAATCATTCAAGAGAATTTTATACATTTCATCTTCATTCCTGAGAAAGAAACTGTCAGTATGAAAATGCAGGATAGAAGGAAGTCTGATTACATTTATCAATTTAAACTGGACTTTACCTGGCTTCAGTTTTACCAGTCCTCCAGGAGCCTCTTTTTCCATCAGCTCTGCCAACATAATTCAAAATGTCCATAGCTACAAACATGAACACAGAAAATTAATTCTTACCATACATGCTTAAGCGTCTAAAACTCTAATGCACTCTATACACATAAATGGTGAAAGTGAACCTGGTATATAGGTTAGGATTTAGGCTTAAACAGCCAAATTTTCGAGTTTCTAGTTCTACACTTGGAAGCAATGAGATCTTGGCACATTATTATTATTTTTTTTTTTTTGACACGGAGTCTCGCTCTGTCGCCCAGGCTGGAGTGCAGTGGCCAGATCTCGGCTCACTGCAAGCTCCGCCTCCCGGGTTTACGCCATTCTCCTGCCTCAGCCTCCCGAGTAGCTGGGACTACGGACGCTCGCCACCTCACACGGCTATTTTTTTGTATTTTTTACTAGAGACGGGGTTTCACCGGGTTAGCCAGGATGGTCTTTGATCTCCTGACCTGGTGATCCGCCCGTCTCGGCCTCCCAAAGTGCTGGGATTACAGGCTTGAGCCACCGAGCCCGGCCCTTGGCACATTATTTAACTGCTAAGCCTGTTTCTTCTTGGACACTGGGAATAACAAAAGTATCTACCAAAGAGTTGTGAAGACAAAGAAATAACTGTTAAAGCACCCACCACTGTAGAGTGAACACAGTATCTGGCGCACGGTAAGTACATAATAAATGTTACTTTATCATTATTAATTTCATTATCAGGGTTGGCTGATAATGGCCCACAGGCTGGCTGCCTGATTTTGTCAATAAAGCTTTATGGGAACACAGCCACATCTACTTGTTTACATACTGCCTATGGCTACTTTTCCTGTTACAATGGCAGAGATAAGTAGGTGCAACAAGTAAGTTGTAGATCCCATAAAACTGAAAATGTTTACTATATGCATCTATACAGAAAAAGTTTGCCATGCCCCGTTAACATTAACATCTTCAACTTCATCAAAGGAGTCAAAGCCCCCGGTAGTAGTGATATCTTCTGCCGCAGGTGGACACGGAAACATTTGGCATAAGAAGGAAATAAGAGTAAATTATTGTAATCTTAGAGTTAACAAAATCATTATGAAACTGTCACTTCTGATTGGACCAGGAAACAGTTAGGCCCCTATAATGGAAGAGTTCTGTTTCCAGAACTAAATCCTTAATAAACTTCTCTGTGTTACATTTTATACTTTCAGCATTTCGGCTGGGCGCGGTGGCTCACGCCTGTAATCCTAGCACTTTGGGAGGCCGAGGCAGGTGGATCACGAGGTCAGGAGATAGAGACCAAGGTGAAACCCGTCTCTACTAAAAACAGAAAAAATTAGCCGGGCTAGGTGGCGGGCGCCTGTAGTCCCAGCTACTGGAGGCTGAGGCAGGAGAATGGCGTGAACTCGGGATGCGGAGCTTGTAGTGAGCTGATATCACACCACTGCACTCCAGCCTGGGCGACAGAGCAAGACTCCGTCTCAAAAAATAATAATAATAATAATAAAATTAACAAAATTTAAAAAAATACTTTCAGCATTTCATCCTGCTTTTTAATTGTTTTTCCTTCATGAATGAACATGAGGCTAACTAACCTTAAAAACCAATGATTCTCCAAATGAGTAAGATTAACTCAGGATACCTAAAGCTTTCCAATCTTAACTGCATATTACTGAATCTTCATTTCTATTTTTCAATAATTTAAAAAATAAAGTATTCGGCTACCTCCAACAGCTCTGCTGTAGAATGACAGTGACGTAGTCAACACTAAACTGCTTGCTGACAGCAGGCACAGTGTACCACATGACAGCCTGAAACGTATGCTCATCGTCTGTTTTTCAAATCTAAGGTAAGACAGTTTAGGGGTGTCATGGTACAATGTATGTTAGAGGACTACCTATGGTCACTTGGAAACCACTCTTCAATAAATAAATACACACTTCTTGTGTCTCGTATTTATACCAGGCCAGCAAAACTGTATTGTAAAGGTCTACTTTCATATTTCTTTGCTTTTTAATTTACACTATCTACTTGAAATTATCCACATATTTGGATGAAATGGTTTAATGTTTTGAAAAAGCCTACTATTAGCAAAAAAGTATACCTTAGACACACACACACATGCCTAACTTTCAAAGTCCATCCTTTTGACTAGTTTCTCCAAAAATGCACAGCTAAACTTATTTAAAGGAACTCGAACTGACATGAACGATTTGGTCTGATGATAAATTTTATGATGTTTACTCTATTTTGACACTCAGAAACTGACCCTGATTTTTAATATTATCAGTTCTTTGATATGGAAAATTAGAATGTCCTCTGGCTTAGTTTTTCTCTATGGATTAATTCTACACTGGTCATGTTACAAAACACATGCAATTAAATAAAGCAAGGCAAAATGACTTATTTTCCACTAACCAGCTGTCTAAATTTTTTATATAAACCACCACCACCGAAAAGCAATTGTATAAAGCATGAAAATAACATTTCACGAGTTACTGTGTTCAATCCTTTTACAATTATTTCTAAGCATAGTATTAGCTAATTTATTCCCTTAGCTGATCTTTGCCAGCTGTTTACCTATTTTCTTATCTTTCTTGTTCATAACAAGTTGATGTAGACGTTCCTTCAGTTTATTATATTCACGCTCTTTTCTCTTCATATCATGATTATACTGAGTAGCTCGACTTGCAATGATATTTTGTAATTTTTGTACCTGAAAAAGGCATTTGCTATTATAAGCCCAGTTACAATTCACAAATTCAAAAGAGAAAAATCCTAAAATTCATCTCCCCATATAGGTTTTAAAATCCTAGGATGATTCTTCCTTATTTGTAACCAGTAGAAACCACTTTTTAAAATATTATATGAATCATATAAAGCTTAATTCTGAAATTTCTAGAAGTGCTAATTTTCTGAATTATCTCCTGTACCTTTTACGTTACATATAGACTCTGAACATTTAAAAACCAGATATTCTTATGGAAGTATTAAAATGATTAAAGCGTCATCTGAGATAAACTGAATTCATCTGATCATTTTAAGTGAACTCCTTGTATTACTGACTTAAAAATCACTTATACTTTTGGTTAATCTGTGACAAAGTGAATTAAGCCTGTGGCACATGGCGGCAGGTAAGCAGGCTCATTTTTCTAATTAAAAACAATTCTCAAATAAGAGTAAGTCCAAACAGCAGAATAATCCAGTCCAAATATTTGCTGAGTATGTATTACGTGCCAGACACTGCTGTTCAAAGTTCAGATCAATTACAGTTTCTCAGGCAGCTCCCGATAGAGTATGTCCTATTCTTTTATAAAGCCATTCCCAATCCCTGCTAGGGATTAACATGATTAACTTAATCCCTACTGAAGATGAACTGTATTCAAACCGTTTAAATGTAATCAACAGATCTAGTCAGAATTGTCTGTGAACTCAAGGAAACATGTATAAGCAACCTTACAGTTTAAATACTAATTACCTACTTATTAAATATACTACTAAATAAACAAATATGGTAAAAGAAATCTATCTAAACCACTCCAGGGTTCTTTAAAGAAATACACTCCTCAGAAGTCTTTACTTATAATTCAAACAACATAAAACACTGAAACTATTATATTTTTATAGTTATTAAATGGTCAGAGGTCATACTTTAGAGCAATAAAAACATAATGGTTTCTTCCTACAAAAATGAAAAAATAATATTTTGAAATGCATTCGTGCTATAGGTCCAAGCAACCACTAAAGTAGAAATTAGAATTCTGCTAAGTAACCACTAAAGCGGAAATTAGAATTGTATCTTTTGTGTCAGAAATTAGATTTTTAATGTGAACTGCTTCTGTGCCCATTTAATGAAGAAACTGCTTGACTAGATGAACAATGTCAGTATTTAAGACAGTGCATGCAAGAAGGGGCACCTCGGCTATCACATACAGGTACAGCAGAGAATAAAAGATCCGCATTTAAAGCAGTCTTGTGCTTAAGAAAAAGTGACAGTGAACATGAGTCCAGGAAGGGCAGTCCAGGACACTGGCTCTTACCAGCTATGAACTAATATCTAAGCCAAATGGATCCACTGGTGGCGGGGGCTGTGGTGGAGAGGGTTCCTGACCTTCCAGTTAAATACTATATACAAAGGTCTACCATACCAATTCGGGGAAAGATGAATAAATGGTTCTTTCTTTTTTCAAGTAAAGTGGCTCTTATGGTCATCTCATATTACAAAGAAAACAAAAATTCACTTAAACTTCATCTGCAGTAACTGACAACTCACCTCATCTTTCTCATTCTTTAGTAGCTGATGCAAATTCCTGTTCTTACATTGTAACTGTCTATCTCTTTCCTGAAGCCCAATCATTTCCCTCCTGGAAGTTTCCAGTTGTTCCTAAAACATTTACATGCAATTCTGATTAAAATTAACAAAGGATTTAGAATAACTGAATCCTTAAAAGATCAGTAACAAGAAGTTACACATCCTACTGTTTATTAGTCAAAATCAAATGTTAGTGGCACGTGAAATGTTTATTTAAAGGAATTATTACAAAGCACACTATAAAATTATAACATTTAAATTTACACATCAAATTTTAATTTACATATCAAATTTTGTACATATATAAAAAAGTGCTTCAAAATGGATCCCTGGAAAGAGCATCACTCCCATGGTGCTGCCCCTGAATATTTTTAAAGTTTATTTTTAATACTTTTTAACACTTCTATACCACATTTTTTAAGATCTCCTCAAGTACAGCAATGTCATCATCCTTCGAGAGTGTACTTGGCTTTGAAAAAGAAGCAAAAGTGATTTGGAGCTACGTCTGAAGAAAAAGATGGGTGACCAAGCAAAGTGGCAACACGTCGAGTCACAGAAATGGGACTTCTGTGTGACACCACTTCTCCCTGCAGGTGGTAAAGTCTCTGAAGGTACTTCCCAGAGAGGAATGGCAGCAAATCCAGAATTAGTATGAGACAAGATGCTCCTTTTCAACTTACCGCATTTCCTGAGGAACTGTGCCAACTTCTGCATGAGGCCACCCATACGGAATATTTTTTAAATTGTACTAATATTTTTATAAAATTCAAAAGCCAAACAAGTTATGTCATAACCGACCATAAATAATAACTTGCACAATTTCTGTAAGAACAGATCTCAAGAAGATACAGAAAATGTAGGAGTATAATAACCTGGATAACTAAGGTTGTCAATTTTTGGCACCCTTTTTTTGAATGTGTAAAACTTACTATTACTGCTAGGACAGATTAGTTGGCATGATATAACTTACAGGCACTAGGCCAGGTGACACATAGCATATACGTCAAATCAGAAATTCGCTCCGCGTGATGATCAACACTTTACCTGAACTCAGCATCATCCCTGAACATCCGCATGCACCCCTCCTTCCTTTCTTAGTGAACCACATCACTATCCTCAGTAACTCAAGGCAGAGATCTGAATGGGGTCTTGAATTCATGACTCCTATTCTCCAAATTCAATTTTTCATAAAATCCTACCCATTCTACTTCCTAAGTGTTCATCAGATCTCAATCTTACTATCCCCATTAGCACTACCTTAGTTCAAGTCCAAGACCTCAGCAAAGGGTCGCTAACAGGCATCCTTATCACTAGGGCTTTTTGAGCCCCCTAACTCCATCCCAAATACAAGTCTGCAATTCCCCTATAATTTCTCCACCCCACTGCCAGAATATTTACACGTTATCTTCCTCCTGTTTACAACTCCTCAGTGCTTCACTATTTTCGTACAATTCCTTTTATACTATCTGGAGACAAGGCTCCAGTCTTACCTCATACCACTCTTCATACCCATCACATACCCATCGCAGCCCCAACAGAGATATTTGTGGTTCCTCTAAAGTGCAGTGATCTCATGCTGCTACACATTTATACAAGTCATATACTCTGCCTAGAATGACATTTCCAAACACTAGCAAATTTCTACTCATTCTTCCAATCTCATATCAGGTGTTACCTCTCTGTAAAGCCTTCCCTTGCTTCCTACCCCAAGAACAATTAATGAAGCAAACAGTTATGTTTCAATATGTCTCCTTTCCCTGGACTGCAATCTCCTCGTGAACTAAGACTGGGGTTTCACTCAGCTTTGAAACTCAGTGCCTAGCACATACGCAATACATTTTCGTTCAACAAGTTGAATTAATCATATGCTAGATCTAGAAACTTTTCCAGATAGATTAGCAACTTTCCCCACTGAATACACATTTCTGTCCACAGTTGACTCAAAATAACAAGATTCTGGCCTAGGTCAAATCCCATATTAGAAGACATCCTGAAGAAACAGTCTCTGCTCTGGGTAGTCCTAATAAATGGGACCACTCCTTGAAGGAAAGGCTCAATAGCCTCAGATCACCAACATATCATAATGATTTACTAGCTACTTATAAGACACATGGCCAAGGGTTACAACCTCTGGATCAGCCCAATCCTTAATAAGACCTTCCATAGGTCTCTCTGATCTGGATTAAAGTAGCATCCATAACTCATAACCTTTTCACAAGCCTGGGGGGCACCAACTACCCTTTCCAATCTACCACAGTTTCCCCAAGAGACATAGCTGGATCATCTCTACCCCTTAGGAATATAGGATGCACGAAAGCCTAAAAACATTACTACGAGAAAACACACTTTTATCATTGTGTATGAACCAAGAAGACAACATAAAACAGCATTATCAATGACAGGCTGGTAGGCACAGGTGCTCGTAAAGAGCGAAGATATCTCTAAACAAATCCCCAAGTGTTTCTAGTGTTCCTATGTAGGCCAACTCTATGCCACATCATCACAGCACATTTCCTGCTATGGGATTTTTAAATATTCTACAGAGAGGTCCTATTATTCCCTCACAGAGCTCAAAGATTCAAGATCCTGAGTGGGTTTTTTGATTGTTTTCTTAGACAGCGTGCTGTGGGGGAGGATGTACACAAAGAAAAACAAGGAAAAGTAAAGGGGCATGGACCAACAGATGAAAAACTAAAAGGGAGCTGATCATCTGACAGCATACAAATGCAAAGGCTTTGATTTTCACAAATAACAAAACCCAATATAGAATAGTATATTTATGAAAAAATTTGACTTGATTTATATTACATCCTTAATAATATACAACTATAAGTCCCGACCACACCATGATTTTGAACACCTTGTTGTTCCCTTTTCCCTGGATAAACATTTTTAAAATACAAATGAAAACATAAAAGGAAGAAAAAGAAAGAAATCAAAACAGAAACCAGTATCAAATATTCTACATTTTAAAGTTAGTAGGTTCAATGGTCCTGTGAAAAATACTTCCTTTCTTTTTTAAGAGAAAAGCAAGTTTACTAAGGATTTTTCTAGTCTTTTCCAGAGACCCAAGGCTTCTAAGAGAAGTTATCTAGTCTGCTTTAACTATTGAGCCTTAGCTCATGTGGCATCATAGATGCCTCAATAATATTTTTCTTGGAATTAACTTGTGCAGCCTCTTACAATAAGACTTTTTAAATGAAGCATATACTTTCTTAACCAAGATTGGATGACAGAATCGTTATTTTATTTTCCCAGAGCACAGAATATTTCCTAACTTTTTACAGATTCAGCAAGTCACTAAACAGCTCAAAAAATTAATGCCATCAATATACTGTAGGTATTAGGAAGCAGATGTGTGCAAATTATAAGTTGATTTTTATTTACCTGTTTAAAAAGAAAACCCTAAAGCTTAAGAAAACCCTGAAATATTTAATAAAGTCAGTAAAAATTTATAGTATTCAAATATATAATTATGGCATCAAAATACAGATATGCAATTTCTACCTTAAGTTTTGAGTAGCAGCTCTGTAGATGGTCCATATCACTTCCCAGCTTCAAATTCTGTGTCTCCACATTTTCCTGAGCTAGAAGGTTCTTCCGCTGAAGCACAAGCAGCTCATTCATACAATTTAAAACAGCTACTATATTTAACTCTCTCTTTGTCTCTTTACTTTTGGATTCTTCATATAATGAAGGAAAACCAAAAGTAGTCAATTCCTGGTAGGAGAAAATGTTTTCTTAAAGTTGGTTACAGTTGAGGAGATACAGGTCAGAGGATATAAACTTTCAGTTAGATAGGAAGAGTAAGTTTAATAGATCTATTGCATGACACAGTGACCTCAGCTAATAACTACGTACTATATTCCCGAAATTGCTGAGAGAGTAAATTCTACCACAAAAAAAATGATATAAGTATTTGAGGTATGCGCACTGCGCCATTTCACAATGTGTATTCTGAAACATCATGTTGTACATGACAAAAATGTATGTTTTGTCGATTAAAAATTAAAAATATATGTGAATTATTTTAAAAGGTTGGTTACTGGACAACTTAGTAAAAAAAAAAAAATCAAAAGATAGAAATCTTTTGAGAAAAATAGAAAACTATCTTGAAATAGTTAAGAAAATGGTCAATATCCCAAAGGACAAAGAGTTAAAAGGACGGGGCTCTTTTAGCCTCTGCTATAAATCTGTGACATGGAGCAAGGCACTTGGGTTTCTGCATCCATAAAGTGATGGCTAGACTCTCAGTGGAGGAGCCCCTGGGACAATGAGGAGGCTAGCCTGCTCCAGATAAGTTAGACTTGCTATCTCTAGATGAGATAATCACCAAGGTTCTCTGAAAATCTAAGTCTCAGGGGCACTATATAAACAAAAAACTTGTGTTTGACAAACGTTTTTCTCATAACTTTGATACATTCTATTATATAACATGATTTATGCTATTTTTTTTTTTACAAAAACATGTTACCTGATCAAGATATGAAATACTCTGTTCAATATTATCCTCTGTGCAGAAGGCACTGAAAAAACTGTGCACATTTTTTGATAAAGGTATTGAAGAACATAGCACTTGCTGTGAGTATAAACTTGATGGAGACATCTTTATTTCTGAGGTATATTGAGAGATAGTTTTGCTTTCTGAAAGAATAAAAGGCACTTATATAAATAATTTAGAAAAACATATGTAAAGCTAACATAATCTCCATTACTAAAGACTTGAATTATATATACACACATAAACATAGATATAATTATACGATATACATATATATTTTAAGGTATTTTCAAATTAGGGCAAAGCCTCTTTTTTATGAAAACTATATACTTTTTTTTCCAAAAAGATACAAATAAAGTGGTGTTCTCAGCAGACATGAAAATAAGTATTTTATAACCACTTGTCTCTCTTTAGTTACATCTTCAACATCTGCAGTAATTATTTTATATTTTCATTGAAAAATTCACCTTTACAGTTTCTGCTTTAGTTTACAATTATTTAGACTTAGTTACCTGAAGACAGACCTCGATCTGTAACAGTCATCCAATCTCCCATAGCAATCTCTAGAGCCAGGATACCTGAGGAACTAGTTCAGCAGTTAAACATTTAGTCCAGCTGCTGTCACTCTTCTATGTAGGCATCTCCTTAAAAAGCAGATTACAGAATAATAGCATCTAATTTAAAATATGAAAGCCAATATAAACCCAATGCTTAAGAATTAGTTGTATGTGCTTCAAAACGAAGGATTTTGCAATATTTATTCCCATGCACAGAGACAGAACATGGTGTGTGTGTATATACACAGAAATATAAATAATATGTAAGGATCAAGGTTAAAGGCTTCCCAAGTTCTACTGAGGTATTCATATTACTTTATACACAAGATACATGGTACATGATTTGACTCAACATACATCTAAGGTATAGTATTGTACTAAGTAATATTTCCATATTATATCCTTTAAAATAAAATACAATTACTTATGTAGATGAGAAGATGAAAAACTTCTTGGCCAGCATTTCCAATTTTTTTTTGTTTTTACCAACTATATTGGCAAAACTTGTAAATTACAATTCCCAGTGTTGGCAAAGATGTAGAGAAATGAACACTTCCATATACTCTCTCCAGATTATAGAGATTTATACTACTACCAAGAAAGCTGACAATATGTATCAAGTCTTAAAAATGAAAATATATTTTGATCCAGAAAATCTACTTCTAAAATATTATCCTAATAAAATGATGTGTACAAAGATTAATCTAAAATTTGTTATTCACAATATCAAAAAAACAAAAATCATGTGCTTATGTTTCCATAGAATGGCTAAAAAAACCAATATATTTATACAGCATTTAAACGTAACTGTTGTGTAGAATTAGATGGCTAACAAACAAACAGCCAAAACTACAAATGGTATGGACTAAGTATAAGACACACTTTCTGTTTCCATTTATGTTTTCACTTTTTTAGAGAGACAATGGAAGAGATAAATATTTCTCCATCATAAGAAAAGCAATTCAAACGAAACTGTAAGTGGCAACTGGCAATTGATTTCAAGGTCAGAGGGAAGAGGAGGAAGGGTGAAGACTGTATGCAACCTGGGGAACACATGTCAATACTGTGGACAGCTGCTTCTTGGCTACAATAAATTGTGGTCAAGGGGAAAGCAGTTGTGTTGATCTTAGATGTTTTTATGAGATACTGGAACTCCGGATTTTTATGTGAAGTCTCCCAATTTTAAAATGTTAGTAGCTAATTTTAAAAAAACCTTTATGTATTAAGTTATCCTGTGGGAAAGAGGAGTGCCTAGAGAGGGAAATGAGTGAGGCTTCTGGGGTGCCAAGACTTTCTACATCTTGATCTGAAATGTGGTTACACCGGTATACACACGTTCAGTTCATTGAGTTGTACACTTTTTAAGATCTGTGCACTTGACTGTAAGTTAGTTATACCTCAAACAACAGCACTATGTGATAAGCCAAGTAAAATGTGTCTTTAGGCCAAATCTGGACTGTGGATCAAGAGTTCACAACCATTGTTCTGAATATTTAAGACTGTGGTAAAATATTCAAAATATAGTGTTAAATGAAAATTTAGGCCGGCTGCAGTGGCTCACGCCTGTAATCACAGCACTTTGGGCGGCTGACGCGAGTAGATCACTTGAGGTTAGGAGTTTGAGACCACTCTGACCCACGTGGTGAAACCCCCGTCTCTACTAAAAATACAAAAATTAGCCGGTGTAGTGGCGGGCATCTGTAATCCCAGCTACTCAAGAGGCTGAGGCAGAAGAACCCCTTGAACCTGGGAGGCAGAGGTTGCACTGAGCTGAGATCGTGCCACTGCACTCCAGCCTGGGCGACAGAGTGAGACTCCATCTCAAAAAGAAAAAAGAAATTTACATTTTTCCAATAAATACTAATTGAGCTCCTACTATGTGCTACTACATTTTTCTAGGCACAGGGGAGGCCATATGCTCTCAAGAAGTGAAGTTCATATTCTGAAGGAGGTAAAATAAATACCAAACAAGTGAGCAACAACTTAACAGAGTGATAACTAAAAGAAAATAAAACATGGTAATACAAGAGAGTATTAAGGTAGGGAGCATCTGGATCAGTGAGAGAACCTCCACTGAAACAGTGACATCTGAAGTGAAACCTAAATGATACAGAGTCAGCCACAAGAAAATCAATGACCAGAGCAGTCCAGGTAAAGGAAACAGCAGATGCAAAGACTTAAGATGGATATTAACGTGTTATGGATGAAAAACAGAGAGAAGGCCAGTATATTTGAAGCACAGTAAGCAAGGCTACAGCGTAGGACGTTGGATTTCCTCTAAACTGCAATGAAAATCTATTGATGTGTTTCTTGTAGATAGGAAAGTAACATGTTCTCTTTTATGCTTTAAGAAAGATTACCGTGGCTACTCTGTGAGTAGACTATAGGTAGGCAATTGTAAAAGCTGGAAGAAATCAGGAGGCTACTACAATAGTTCAGGCAAGACAACCAGTGTTAAACTACAGTTTTAACAGTGGATGCAGAAACAGGCAGATGAATTAGGGATGTGTTCTGGAGACAGAACCTTCAGGGCTCAAAGATGGTTGAAATGTGGGCAAAAAAGAAATCAAGGATGATTTCTAAATTGTAGAGCAGCATACAATGTATACTGAGACAGAGGATGTTATGTGTCTACTACATGTTATGACGTTACACACACACATATAACACAGGAAGTAATTCAGTCTGGCAATGGTCTTTTGCCACGTTTCTACTCATGTGCTTGGTAAGGAAGGGCACCTTGAACTATTTTGTTCTTCCTACTGTCCTTAAATGGGTGTTAGCAACAGGATGAGAAGGATAAAGACTGAGTCTGTACCAACTAAGAAAGACACTGATTTTACTTTTGGCTTTCTCAGATAATCACTGTAAGTAAAACAGAATCCAAGGAACAATAAACCCTTCTACTCTAATATAACTCAGCTTTGGGTAAATTCCTTAACCTCTCCGAGCCATAGTTTCTTCACAGGTAAATTACCATAACAATGAAGAATACCTCCTAAGTTTCCCAAGAGAAAAGTCATAAAGTATTTAGCACACTGCTTGGCACAGAAGACACACATAAGCTAATATTAATCATCATCATCATCATCATCATCATCTAGACACAGGGCTATTTGGTATAAACGACAGGCTTCTAAAACCTGTGACAAAATGCACCACTGCTCTTAATAAAGGTTGAACACAAATTATTGAACGATCTAGAGACAGATATCTTTATAAAGACGCAGTACGCAGTGAGCTAATTTCATAATCAACTGGTTGGGGGAAGAAACAGGGTCAGAAGAAAACAGTAATAGGCACCTTTCCAATTTCTCTGTGTTCTTGTTAAGGTATCTGTAAGACAATAGTGCTTTAAGAGTCTTTTCTCCTCACACAGAAAGAACACCAAAACGTGTCTATTATATACCCATTCTTTAAAATTGTAAATTAAGTCAGTTACCCTTTCTCTGTGAATTTAGCTCTCCTGTGCCTATAGGCTAGACAGTGAATTGTTCCTTGCCCTACTGACACAAACTTTGTAAAATGTTTACAATGAAAACCAAAACCCCATTTTGAAGTCCTATGAAACAAAAAACTTAACTAACAGTAATGATTTCACACAATCTAAAAGTTTCATGAATCCTCTTCTTTTCAATGATGTAACAATTACATGCTAGGAGACTTGTGATAAAAGAAAAGTTACCCGGCCAGTTTTTCCAAGAAAGGGGACTTACGACTCTTTAACAATACCTACCCTAAAACTAAGCAGTAAATTTAAGCATATTATTGTATTTCAGCTCAAATACAGCTAAAATTGCATTGCTGAAGGTTGCAAAGCATTTTTTATGAAGATGTTAAACTAAGTCAATGTTAATTTCAAAAGAAAAAAAGGTAACAGAACCATATCTGTTTTGCATAAATATAATACCATCACAAGCCCATTTCAATTTGCAAGTGTCAAATGCAACCAAGAAGGACTCCATTACAAAGTCAGTGCAGGAATGCACATTCATAATATAGATTAATCAAATAATAGTAAGCCATTATATAGTGGACATGATTATTCCTCAGAATTGGAGTAAGAGCAAACTTAGTTATTCTAGCACTGTTACCATAGTTACTTTAGGAGAAAAAAGTAAGTAGTGATTCATGTTTTAGTTCAAGTAACCTGTAACCTGAAATTCTCTCTACTAATATGATTTGTTAGAGTATATGAAAGGAAAATACGTCTTGGGACCCCAAAATCACTAAGGCAAAGGGAAAAGTCAAGCTGGGAACGGCATCAGGCAAACCTGCCTCCCATTTTATTCCTCAATAAAATAGCTACAAAGATTAAAAAGCTACATTTGTCCAAAGTTCCTTGTGGGCCTCAAGATTTTCACCCTAAAACAGTTCTGTTGGATTTCAATCTTGCAGTGTAAATTGATAGCTTATTTTCCAAGGTGCGGGACAAAGGACAGAACTCAAAGTGGCCGGGCGCGGTGGCTCACGCCTGTAATCCCAGCACTTTGGGAGGCCGAGGCGGGCGGATCACAAGGTCAGGAGATCGAGACCATGGTGAAACCCCGTCTCTACTAAAAAATAGAAAAAAATTAGCCGGGCGCAGTGGCGGGCGCCTGTAGTCCCAGCTGGCGTGAACCCGGGAGGCGGAGCTTGCAGTGAGCCGAGATTGCGCCACTGCACTCCAGCCTGGGCGACAGAGCGAGACTCCGTCTCAAAAAAAAAAAAAAATTAAAAAAAAAAAAAAAAGTTTTCCCTCTGCTTACCTGAGACAAATGCACATCTGATAGATTCCTATGCCCTATTATTTACATAAAAATGTAGATTCAATGAATCAGACTAAGGCATAAGTGGCTATTCCTCTACTTCCCTCTCACATGCAAATTGTGTATTCAGTGAAAGGCTGATCAAAGACCCAAAAGAAAGCAACCTTTCATCTCATCTACCTGTCCTAGAAGCCCCCGCCCCCTTTTCCGTTCCACTTCAAGTTGTCCGGCCTTTCCAGACTGAACCAATGAATGTACATCTTACACATACTGACGGATGTCTCATGTCTCCCTAAAATGTATAAAACCAAGCTGTGCCCCAACCACCTTGGACATACGTCGTCAGGTCCTTCTGAGGCTGTGTCACAGATGTGTCCTTAACTTTGGCAAAATAAACCTTCTAAATTGAGACCTGTCTCAGATACAGCTACCCAAATTCCAAGATGGATCAAATTCATGAGTGAATTTTATGAGCAAAACTTGAAGATTAAAGAATTTAAATATATTGTAAAAGGCATTTCATTCATTTAAGATTGTCACAGTACAATCTTGAAATACATCAAAGTAAGAAAAATGTATAAAGTAATCCATAAATAGGAGATACAGTTTTGTTCATTACTGGTACGAAACAAGTATACAGCCATCTAATAAACTTCCTTGTTCAAAGTACCTCTCAACATAGATTCCAATCAATGTCTTTATACTGTAATAGAAAATCTTACAATAATTTTGGTAAAAGTGTTACCTTACTACTTTTGAAGTAGTAAGTACTTTTTAAGTACTCTGTCTTCCCTATATGTTGCTATGGGTTGCAAAGTACCAATGCCATATACTTTAGGTATGAAATAAGAAAGGGAACTCTGGTCTTTTCTGGGTAAAATCATGCAGAGCTTAAATCTATCATTCTTCATACCCAAAAGTTTTCTCTTTTGCTTTCTGTTATACAGATAGGAACTAGGGCTCAGAGAGATCAACAGGTTGGCCCAATGTCGCATTTCTAATTGGTTGTGAAGCCAGGAAACAAATCTGATTTCAAAACTCTGTGCTCTTTTCCTTTATTGAAATAGTCTCGCTCTGTCACCCACGCTGGAGTACAGAGGCACAATCTCAGCTCACTGCTACTTCTGCCTCCCAGAGTCAAGCGATTCTCCTGCCTCAGCCTTCTGAGTAGCTGGGATTACAGGCAGGTGCCTAGCTAATTTTTGTATTTTTAGTAGAGATGGAGGTTTCACCATGTTGGCCAGGCTGGTCTCGAACTACTGACTTCAAGTCATCTGCCCGCCTCGGCCTTCCAATGTGCTGGGATCATAGGCGTGAGCCACCATGCCCAGTCAACTCTGTGCTCTTTTCATTCTATCACTATTCAACCTTTCAACTTTGTACACATAAATCTCTATCATGCATGCACATCGAACTGAAAACAGAATATAATCAAAATGATTTCCACTGTTTCTTTAGAAGACTGTGTTCTTATAATCCACTTTAAATGAGTCCATTCAGAGCACACAGTTCTCACTGGAACTTACATACTACTTAAATTGAGGCACAACTGTAAAATTGGTCTCTGCTTGGCCACAAAACAATAGCTTTGTTCTTGTTTATACTTCTCTATCGTAGAGTAAATATTAACATAACATTGAAACTAACTTTACAGACCTTTAGCAAAAACATCTTGTAGTTCTGGTTAATCACACCTGTTTTTTTTCCATCAGAAAAGTTCCTTGGCTAGCTATCTTTTTCCTTCTAACCCAAAGATGAAGAGGTTCTCAATACACAACAATACCTCGTAGAACTTTGGGTAAGCAGTCTCAAAGATGGCTCTTGGTTATTTCTGCCTCCTGATGGACACGCCCTTGGGTTATTCTGTTCCTTGAGTATGGGCTAGATTTACTAACTAGCTTCCAACAAATAGAATATAGCAGAAGTGAAGGGATTTCACTTCCAAAATTAGGTTATAAAAAGGCTGTGGCTTCCATCTGAGGTTGTTTTTTATTCCTTGCCCTCTTAGATACCTCTTCCTGGGGAAAACAAGCCATCACGTTGTAAGCAACTCTATGAGAGGTCCGTGTGGCAAGGAACTGATGTCTGAGGTCGACAGGACCTGAGGCCTGCCAAGAGCCATACAGGTGAGTTTAGAACTAGATTTTACCTCAGTCAAACCTTGCGATCATTGCAGCCCTGTCCAACACCTTGACGGCCTAGTGAGACACCCTGACCCAGAGCACCCAGCTAAGCTGTGCTCAGATTCCTGACTCATCTGTTGTAAGCTGGCTGTTTAAGCTGCTAAATTTCAGAGTAATTTGTTATGAAGCAATAGATAACTCATACAAGTTTTTAAGTATATATGTTAAATATACATAAATTTATTGAGAAATTCCTGAGTCCCTTCTAAAACTTACACCATAATTTACTGAAACATAACTAAAAATGATGCCAATGCCGCTGATCAGGTTTTTAACAATGATATCAACCAGTATTACAATTAATCATTCCATACTATTACGGTTAGATGCTTTCCCCACTAGTTTATGAACTTCTAGAGGGCAGGGAACGTATGCGTCTTTGTAGCCAACAGTACCTGAAACACAGCAGGTGCTCGGTAAATGTTCACAATATGAACTGAGTCCCACATACGGCACACTCACTCAGCCTCTGTGCCTCCACCTGTGCTTTCTTCTCGCACCTATCTCAAAACTAATGCTTTTACAAAACAGTGCACAACCACCGTCCCCATCACATAACCTTCTCCAACTACTCCAGCCCACCAAGTTCAATCTCTAAGCCCCCCACATACTTGGTTTGTTTCATCTTTCCCAGCCACACTCTCCAGTACCACACATTTTACATTTCTGTATCCCCTCCCACTAAACTTAAAGGATGGCATAATCAATGAATATTCAAAAACTGGTAACAAATTAACATGTTCATTCTGGCAGGCAGAAGTGGACAAAGGAACAGAGCAATGGAAAAGTAGCAAAAGAAGAGTCAATACTTTAGAGAAAAGAATTACTCTCAATTCCCATTTGTCTTTTCCTCTTCACCACCAAATCTCTGCAGCCACAAACTGAAAGAGAGCTCCGCAGAAACAGGGTATCCTCATTACAAGATTTCCCTCACAAAGTACACTACTTTAAGTGTTCTTTTCAAACTCACTTGAAATTCAAACTTGAGAAGGTGCAAATGCCTACCTACTCAGAATGCTAAAACAATTGCAGTTGACAGAAAATAATAGCTTTCCATTACACAGGGACATGGTAACTTAACACCATCTGGGCTTCTAAGTATTGCACAGAATTTTTCACAAATAGAGCTAACTAAAGTCTTTGCTAAAATCTCACAATGTTAGAGTTACCAGACTGTTAGGTTAAGAAGATAAAACTAAGTCTTGCAACATTAGTCCTATCTTACAAATTCAGTCCTAAAATTTAAGAATTTAAGTTATCAGTATTGACTCTTAAAAACTAGACATATTACAATTATTTAAAACTGTAATATCACTTTCAACTATGATTTTGTTATAAAGGAGACTGTAGCTTTGAATTCCATTAGAAATATCTCTGCACCTTAAAATTGTTCAGATGCGCACATCAGTACAGAAACAGTAAGTCCAACCTCTCAGAAAATCTACTCTTTATGAATTTAAAATCTAAATTATTTCTTCTGAGTGGTGTAATTTCATAGATATTTTCCATAGAAAAACACTCTTCCTCAAAAATCTAAATATACATGAATGGTACGAACTCAAAAATTGATATTAATAACGTGCCTTCCTGATGTTTTGTGGCCAATAGAGGATTTATAGTTGCAAAGTACAGTGCAAACAATGCAAGCCTCAGAGGCCCGGGTCAACAGACTGGGTCATATCTTGACGAAAACATTTATTTCCAAGACTCTCTCTCCAAGATGGTTTCCTCACCTGTAAAACGGGGTGATGATAATCTACTTGTTAAGGTTGTGGGTATTTAATGGAGTAAGAGGTGGAAAACTAAGTACACTATAACTAGGACATAGGATACTGGTTTAATAACACATGTGCCAGGAGCTATTCTAAATGCTTTACGTATATAATTAAGTCAATCCTCACAACAACTTTGTTATTTTTTCCCTTTTACAGATAAGGAAATTGTGGCAGAGAGGTTAATTTGCCCAAGATCACAGAGCTAGCAAGTGGCAGAGGCAGGATGCCAACCCCCAACCCCACATTGGACTGCAGAGCCCATTCTCTTAACCATCACACATTGTTGCTTCAGTGGGTGAGGGGCTCAAGAAGCAGCATCTCCTACCACCACTCCTTTAAGAACCAGTAAAGACAGAACTCAATCTATCTCCCAATTGGGCTCAGACTGCATAAAATAGTGTGAACACACAAATTATGGTACAATAATTCATGTGTATCTCTGGGTTGAGGGATATAATCTCAATGAAGCTCCTGGCCAAAATCTGCCATTAGACAGCTATCCTCAGCTTAGAAAGCAGGGAGCAGCTACATGCTGTTCTTTAAATTCCTTATATATCTTTGAACTGATCATTGCTGTAGTATGAGAAACAGTACAGTAAAAGAGTTAAAATCCGAAGTCAGACCATCTGGTTCCAAACCCCGGCTTCTACACTTACAGACTAAGTGGTCCTGAACATAAATCTTCTCTGGGCCTCACTTTCCTCATCTGCAAAAGGAGAGTAAAAGCAGTTTACCTCAAAAAATTATGTGGTTACATAGTATATTTATCAAGTTTCTTTCATTATTTTATTAAATAAGCTTATGTATGTAGAGGGCTTAAAAAAAGGTCATGAGTACACAGTAAGTGCTCAATAAATGCTAGCTATTATTAGCTATTTTACTCTTGGAAAGGCTTCCATATTTTGTTAAGTAATGTAAAAAAGTTACAAAACCATATCTAACATGAGCTTATTTAGTCCTTAGAAAAAAACAAAACAAAACAAGTATCAGTAGATATGTACAGGTATAAATTCTGCTCTATAAACACTAAAGTTTTTATAAGGACAGAAAAAATTGCAAGGAAAAACCAACTTAAAAAATAGGGAAAAGGCAAGGGCAGGACTTTCATTCCTTTCTTTATGCACTTTCATGCACAAAAATGTAACTTTACTGTCTGTCTTCCAAATTTTCTATAAATGAATGTGTTTTTCATACAAAGAAAAAAATCTAAGTTTTTAAAAGGCAATTATGATGATGATAAGCAGAGGAAAACGGGGATAAACGGCACCATTCTCAAACGCCAAAACTAATGGTAGAATGGCATGAGTGATAAAAAAATTCATAAAATAAAACAGCAAGCAGCCCTGTTAGGCAAAAACTGGTTAGAAAATTATACAAATGTCCTAGAGTTTTTTAAGATAATCAATTATGTAAGGGAAATAGCTCTTTACCAGAGATCAGTAGTTTGTTGTTTTACAGGGCAATTCCAACAATTAACAAATATTTGAAATGTGTAAATCTTCCCACTAATCAATTATACTTCTAGGCATATAAGAGAGCAAGCATAATATATATTGAGGACATTGTTGAATTGTAGTATTATTTGAAATGGCAAAAACTAGAGACAATCTTAATAGCCATCATGGACAAACCGTTAAAAACCAACACATATGGTACAGCCAGTCTATTCTGGGATTATTAAAGATTAAAGCAAATCTGCATGTATAGCACAAAAAAAGAAGTTACAGGTTAATTAGAACAGTATGATCACCATTTTTTGTTAAATCAAACTACCTATATATATTCAGGGGAAAGTTCTGGAAAAGTTACAAACTGTTACAAATGACATCCCTGGGGATGGAATGATTGGGTACAGGGAGGGGTGGAAGGCCAGGGCTTTCACCTCTTCCACAGCATATCTTTATATAGCTTGAATGTCTCAGGAGCATGTATTATTCTGTAAAATTTTTAGCGGCAGAGTATTCAAGCACAATTAAATGAGATAATGTGTGAAAGCACTCTTAGCTCAATCCCTGCCCTTGAGTGGAAATCTCAACTAAGACAAATCTCACCAATCAAGTACACTTCTAGCACCTGTTCTACATATGCACACATACCCATGAGCAAGGGTAATGCAGTCTTTACTTCAGTGGGAATGTCTGTAGGACCCCGGCCCATCGGGAAGACAGGAAACAGAAATGCAGAGACCAGACTTCCCCCAACTATCGTCAAGGGCAAAGCCCTTGGAGTACCGGCAGACCTGGCAAACATGGACTCTCCCCCTGGCTTAATGAACAATCCAACCTTGGTAGGAGGAAAGAGGGAAATTTTAACTATTAACACTCTCTTCAAAAACAAATGCTCTTAATCTTTCAACCTTCGATGAATGTAACTAAGAAGGTGCATTTCCACTTCAAGAGAGCAGCTCACAAAGTTAAACACAGTAGGGACTTAATCTATGTATACCATCTGATATTCCATTACACACTGACTTTTTATTGCTAATGTTTTCATCTGTTTTGGAGTTGGCTGCCAATTAACCCGTTCGTTTTCCAGGGTGCTGTCACTTCAGGGAAGCTGCACAGGGTACTGAGAGAGCACTGGACTGAGCAGCATCAGAGGCCACGGTTCTCAGCAACATTTCTATTACGTACTGAGCAACCTTGAACCGGTCATCATTTCTTTGAGTTTCAGTTTCCACATCTGTAAAATTATGAAGTCAAACTAGATGACGTTTAAAGAATTTCCAGTTCTATTATCTTTTGATTTTTACATTTCTCATGGGACCCAATATGGAATTGAGTACAGCTATGTATATTAAAATTACTTTTTCTTCACTTTTTTTTTTTTTTTTTGAGATGGAGTCTCGCCGTCACCCAGGCTGGAGTGCAGTGGTGTGATCTGGCTCACTGCAACCTCTGCCTCCTGGGTTCAAGCTATTCTCCTGCCTCGACCTCCCGAGTAGCTGGGACTACAGGCACATGCCACCGTACCTGCTAATTTTTGTATTTTTAGTAGAGACAGGATTTCACCATGTTGGCCAGACTGGTCTTAAACTCCTGACCTCATGATCCGCCCACCTCAGCCTCCAAAGTGCTAGGATTAGGCGTGAGCCATCACTTCCTGCCTTTTCTTCACATTTTTATAACAATGTGCACACATTGTCTTTACAACCCAATGTTTAGCAAATGAGATTCTACCTAATTTTAATAACAATAATTTATTAAGCATGCGGCACTTACTTGGAACACTTTTAAGCATTTTATGTGTACAAACTTACTCAATCTTACAATGATCCAAATACTTTCCCCCATTACAGATAAGGAAACTGAAGCCTGGAGTTTTCTTGACCTAGGACACAGAGCTAGAACATGACAAAGCCAAAATTCAAACCCTGGTAGTCTAGCACATTTCACATTACACCCTACTATCTTTCGTACAGGAGAGGGGGGAGTATACAATATTCAAGCTGCTTTTTCTTAAGTTCTGGGATACATGTGCAGAACGTGCAGGTTTGTTACATAAGTATACATGTGCCATGGTGGTTTGCTGCATCTATCAACCCGTCATCTAGGTTTTAAGCCCCAAATGCATTAGGTATTTGTCCAATGCTCTTCCTCCCCTCAAGCTGCTTTTTCAAACTGAACAAGTATTCTCTTCTTGACCACCTCACCTGAAACTAAATTACAATCAAATAATTATGCCAACTGAATAACTAGAATGGGAACTATACAAAAGCAGACAAAATATTAACAATTCAAAAAAATTTTTGAAAAATCTAGCAAATATATTGCCAGGCTTTCCCTGCACTGCCATCCCTTCTCTTTGTGCTTCTAGAACACTTAATATGAACTCGACTACAGCACAGATCTAACAGGAATACAATTTCTCTCCCACCACCTCAACTGAGTTCTTGGTTGGCAAGCTTGTCAGCATATTCTTTGTACTCCATTTCAGTATTAGGCATCATCACTCATTCAAGGTTGGAGCCCAGTCGAGATTGCCGAACAAATGTCCAAGTCCAAGGATGTATTAGTGTAAGGTTTGCTGCTGTCTTAGTATGATAGACAAGTCAACACTTTGGCCATGCTGCAGTTTAGAAGGGCTTACAATCTAATCTTGATTGGTAACAGCTCAGAGAAGGAGCAAGGTGATTCAGGGTATGAATCAAGAGCATGGCAATTTAGAAACTGTGTATCAGTTTCAAATTCTTCCAATGTACACACAGCAATAGCAGCAATCATATTCTTAGAAGATTATTAAGAAAAAAGAAAAAGAGAGTCACTTTTTAGAAGTCTATCAACTTTTAAGGTTAAAAGTCAGCTAAGAAGTCCAAATCAAATTTTTAAATTACTATTTATTGGTATTTCATTCCTCAAATAATGAAATGGTAATAACATCTACTAAAGGCATTGGAAATAACAAAGAAACAAACATAATTAATAAATCTACTCATCATTTTTTTCAATGATTTAGCCCAAATTCAGTCATTGGTTATAGTTCTCAATGTATGGCCCTGGGACCAGCAGCATCAATATCACCTGGGAACTTGTTAAAAATGCAAATTATCAAGTTCTGTTCCAGACCTACAGTCCAGAAGCTTTAGTGGAAGGACTGAAAAGTCAGTGTTTTAGCAGAACCTCCACGTAATTCTGACACAAAGTTTGAGAATCACTGCTGTGTTCTATAGAATGTTGTTCAATATAAATTAGCATTCTATTTATATGCACTTTCAATTAGAGAAAATCAAAAAGGAATTCTTATCTATGGGTCCCACAAAATGGGTTCCAAGAATGATATAAAAGTGTTCTAAAGCACTAAATGGAGGTTGAGAATAACAGGCCTAGGGAATGCCTGGCTAAGCAGCTTATTAAACCTTGGAAGATGGGAGAAACTCTGAAAAACAAATAGTTCATCAGCTGAGCATTCATTTATCCTATTAACATACTCTACAACCCAGCAAGTCCACTCCTAGTGAAACCCAAGAGAAATTCTTGCCTATGTATGCCAGGAGGTGTGCACATAAACAGCAGCATTCTCCACAATAGTGAGCAGCACAAGAGTATCACCCTGGAAACAACCCATATACCACCAACAGGAGAATGGATAAATTATGCCATATTCACAAAATGGAATATTATGCAGTAATCAGAAAACTTCAGTGACACATAATAAAAATGTTCAGAAGATAGGGCATGTAACATATACAGTTTTAAATTACGTGATGCAATAAAACTATAATTTAAAAGACACCAAGGGAATGATGGCTATAGGATTCAGTAAATAGTTGCCTCAGGTGAGGGAAAGAGGAAAAAGAAATGGAAGGGCCCATAGGGTTACGCAGAGGGTTAGGTGGTGCTTATTGTATTATTAAAACTATAAATGCACCGGTTAAACAAATATGTCATGAGCCAAGGAATATAAACTAATTCTTTACACCTGAAGTCCTTTAAAATGCTTTAAATACATATATATAATATTCCTCAAATATTTCAAACAATTCTAAATTCTACCCAGTTTGACTGTGGAGGCACCAAGAGCCCTGGGTCCTTGGCCTTACTGTCAACTCAGGGGTTAAAATGTTTTGGGCCCCAAAACCCAAAGCCAATGACCCTCTTCCTTTAAAAGTACAAGAACAGGCAATTTGGGCTCGAGTTTCAGAGGATCTATGAAGCCATCCATTTGCAAAGGATCCACGGATGGCAAGTTAGTAACTCCTGTACTAGCTAATTATGTGAAACTGGTAGGAGAGAAGCTAATGATGAATTCAAGAGCACCTAATGCATGCCAGATGGGGCTCCATCAGCTGCACCACTTAACCCTCACACTAGCCCAAGGAAGAAGTAAAGATAGCACTGGTTTATTGATGGAAGAAACTGAGGCAACAGATTAGGTAACTTACAGTTACAAACCTGGAAGACAGAAATAAAAGCCAGCTATTCAACCTGGAAAGACTAAAAACTAGCTATTTATGATTCCAAAGCCTCACAGGCCTGGTTTCCTCCTGACACTCAACAAATACGCTGAGCAAATGATATCAATTCTCTGAGCCTATCGCCTCATTACAAAACAACATGGCTAATGAGGGGTTGTACTTACAGATTATTTCTATGATGATGGTTTGCTTTTATAGTCTAGATCCTATGCAGGGAGATATTCCTAAAATTTGGCTATAGAAGAGAGAATCAAACCGAAGGAGACATCTTTCAGACAGGAAACCACAACCAGACTACAATTAACAGGCAAATGAAAAGTATATGCAGTGGCTGGAACCCATCTTGAATTTTAAGTATCTACTGGACACTATTTAGGCTCTATATACGATTTTAAAATCGTATTTAGTCCTACAATTCTTTTAGAACAATATTTCTCTACAAATCTCCTCCAAACTTAATGCCTGCAAAATAAGTTATATTTTTTAGCACCGTGGCACAAAAATATATTCTCAGTGCTCACTGTATGCCAAGAACTATACATAATTTAAATACTTTTTTGCTTTTTATCTTTTTTTTTTTTTTACAAAAAGCATACAATTATTTTATAATCTGAAAAAAAATCTTTGAGACAGATATTATAGTAAACTGGGCAATTAATGGTCAGGAACCAGATGGCTGACTCAGTCAGTGACTGAGGATAGCGAAGAACAGGTAAGAAATAACTCAGAAGTTGGACTGACAGGACATGGTGACAAGTATACAAAAGGGAGGCATTTACTCTCCCATGTAAAAAACCTGTCTTTGACTCCTGACAGATAACAGTGTCATTTAGATAAAGGGAACAGAGGAGTAAGGTTAGTAAAACTGGGTTTGGGCAAATGTGTGGAGATAATGAGCTTTGTGCAGCTTACTGGGTTTGGAAATGCCCTCATGAGACATTCACACAGGGCTAAACTCTAGGCCTGGAACTCACAAGACATCAGAGCACGTTTAGATAGATGAAATTCATAAAGAAAAAAGGGGCAGAAGAACGAACTCCGAAGAACATCAACATGAGTAAGTGAAGGAGACCTGGACGCAAGAGATACAAAGAGATGGGGGAACGGACTTCAGGAAAGCCAAGGGAGAAGAGATTTAAAGAGGAAGGGTGATACACAGCAGCAAATGCCATAGAATGGGCAGGTTTTGAATTTAAAAAACGTGTTGGATTTGGTGATTAGTGACTTAATGACAAAGCTGAGGGCTAAAAATGAAAATCAGACTTCAGAAAGATGATCACCAAATAAAAGGAAAATCACTTGTTCAAGAATCTGAGTTTAAATGAATGTTAGTTTCTGTGAATGCACAGGCTTTATTAGATGCTCATGGATAGATTTAACATGACAAAAAAAATCCTGCCTTTAAAGTCAGTTCTTATTCAATTACAGCATTTTTATATCAAGTAGAAATATTAAGTGCTCAATAAGTATGAGCTATTTGTCCAGGCATTGTTCTGGATACTAACCTATTTTTCTAATCATACCCCTCCGAAGTAGGTATTGTTATCATCCTTCACAAATGCGACAACCAGGGCACAAGATCACATAGCTAGTAATATGGTAGATCAAACACAAGATCACATAGCTAGTAGTATGGTAGATCAAACACAAGATCACATAGCTAGTAGTATGGTAGATCAAATGTGACTCAAGAGAATATGAGAAAAGGGTATGTGCGAAGCAAGAGTTAAAAGACGAGAACTGTAGTTACGATTGCTCTGAATGTTTAACTGCTTGTAGTTTAATTTCTATTTAAAAACTTATTTTTGCTACTTTGAAAGACTATTTCTTCTCTCATCTCAGAATCCTACATTGCTAGAATCTGACATTTTTATGTCTGACACCCAGATTCTGTACTGCATAATTGTGTTATTTCTCCTACTGAATGCAGGTTGCTTGAAAATGGGGAAGTATCTTATTTAATTTGTATCCCTATTCTTCCAGTCTTAAAAGTAGAAGATACTCAAGAAAGGTCTGTTGTATAATTATTTCTGCTTTTCTACAGTTTCTGAGGGTTTCAGCAAAATATACCTCAAGTCTAATTGCTGTGTGAGACTCCCGTCTTTCAGATATTATTTGGATTATGCTCAATACATTTTGGATCACTCAAAATGCTGGTTTTGGTGGAAATATCCTTCTAAAGTAAAAATCAAATATAATTCCCCTTCATAAAACCTTCTGAAGGTTCCCTGTAACCTACTGGTCAATGTTCACAGCACCATTCTACAGCCTTATTAATATGGCAACCCCACCCTGGTCCAACTCTACCAAGCCACCTGTAACTCCTCAACTGTACACTGCCGCAGAATGCACCAGCTGCTTGATGAACTCCACTTCCTCTGCCAGACACAGCTGAAATTCTCATTCTTTTCGAAAGCCTTCCTATATTTGCTTTGTGTAAGGTTTTTTTGCTCTCTCCTTCACTATGCTGATAATTTCCAAAATACAAATTCCTCAAGGCAACACTCATCTTTTTAACCTCAGGTCAGGCAAGTAGCCACTTACTAAGCGTTTAATGAATGTTTATTGAAAGAATTATTAAAGCGTAATTTAGTAAATCTGTTGGTTCTACATATAACATTGGCCCACAATCAAAAGGCACGATTCTAGGATGTTTTTCATTACTAATAATGAATGGTGCGTCTCTCTATTCCATCTCATCCCATAAACTCATGAATTCAAGATAACTTGTACCTTCACTACTAGCTAACCATATCGCCATTACCAAAGCCACAAAACAAACCCACATTGTATCAAAACCTCTTTGTGTCATGAGCAAATGGGGAAACCAATAAGGCATGTTCACAGCTATTGTAAAAGACATGGAAAAAAAACTTTAAAATCTTTGAAATCGATCCAACTTAGGCATGTGGAACGAATTAAAATCATACAATTTTGGGGCGGTGTCTTTTCATGAACCTAATTCCTCTAGGTGCATATTACACAGAAGGCACTCAAACGACTACTTTATGAAACCGGTGTCACGGCCTGCTTTGGCCAAAGAGCAGACTGTCAAGTACTAGGAGATCCCAAGTATATAATCGGACATTGTGCCAGACTTGAGGTCTTTAGCAAACAATTTCAGCATAACATTTAGTTTTCTCATATATCTTCCTCATTATGTTTAGAACATAATGTGCTTTAACAAGTCTTGTCACAAGGCACAATGTGTTATGAGGAGATCTCCACATTTCATCCTAGAATAACTAAGTCTTCACAGTTATCTTCAAGCTGTCTCACCCACGTTACGTAATCCATGAGCTTTATTATCTTCCCTGTACAGCTGGGGAACGAGAAGGGAAGGAAAGGTACAAAATGACTTGGTCTAAGAGGCTTAGCCAGTCACTAAAAGAGCTTTCGTTTTAACTGTCAGTTCCTAACCCTCTTCTCAAAGAACCGTTTTGTTTGAGAAACTTTCATTGACAGCAGGCAAAACAGTGTTAAATTAGCTATTAGCTTTCCTTACTTGTTTAGTGTGAATGAATAACCTAAGCTTCCTAGGCCTGTAGGTTGATAGTTTTAGGAAAAGAGATTTGATGGATCAAGTTTTGCCGACTGGATCCAAATTCATAAATCTACCTCTAACCTCTAAATTTCAAGATAGCTTGACGCAAACTTTAAAGGCATTTTTCTCTCCAAATTTCTAATTCTTTACAAATTTTATTCAGTCTCCTAAATGAGTGAACTCATACCAACCTTTCTAGTTCTGGATCAAACTGTAGGAGTACCAGAATTTTCTTCTATCCCACAGTAAGCCAAACCCCCATGAACCATGAAAGGCTCCATGACATCCATCACCCACAGCCAACTCTACACCTTGACTCTAATCTGAACTGTTAGGGAGCCCAGGAAGTTCAAGAAGCCTCCACCCTTACACTTCTAAATCACCCTCTTTTCTAATCATCAACCTATTACAGCGTCCAGAAAAGAGAAATCTCAATTCTCTCAGATTCAAGAACTTTATCAGCGTTGCTAGAAATGGCAGTTTGGCATTTACAACGATAGGTCCTGAAACTGGGAAATAATCTAAAGATTCCCTTATTATACGTGCAGACAGCAAATTATTTAGTACATTCTATGTCCTGGGCCCAAGCGATTTGCCTAACTGGGCAATTAACATATAACACAGGCTCAAAAAATGTGCAGGGAGCTCACAATTCAGTTTACTGTCGTTAACTACAAAATTCTGAACCAAAGTATCTTCATGATAAAATTCTAAACCAAAGTATTTTCACACATGCCTGCCTCTTGGATGATGTAAATTCTTTCCCTCGACTTTTTACTGGACCACTATCGGGGCTCTCCTCCACTGCAGCGGCCACCGGCCACCCAACAACTGGTTTTGAAGACTGCCTCTTGCGGCTGCACTAGCAAATCGCCAAACCCCGCATGCTCCACGGCCGCTGCTGAGACTCTGCAGCCCCAAATCGGCCATCCCCTCCTCCCCGACGTCTCCGCGCTGCTCGTCCCCCCACGCCGGGCGCCACCCTCGCTCCATCCCAGGCAGGGTTTGGGGCTCCCCGGGTCAGAGCACTCCGCGGGCGCAGCTCCGCGAACGCCAGCGAGAGCGGTCCCGGGTCCAGCACCTACCTCCCACCACCTCCTCCAGGCGCGGCCCGGGTCGACGCTCGCCCGCACCCTGCAACGGCCCCAACAGCCGCGCGGAGCCTCGCGCCCAGCAGCAGGGCTCTGAGCCAGGTGCAGGCTCTCACCTCGGGCGCCCGCCCCTGGCCGGCGCCCACCCCTGCCCGCCCCTCCCTGGCGGGGCGCGTCACAATCCCCGCCGCGAGGCACGGCCGCTCACCGTCACGGCCCCCGGGAGCGGCGGGGAGTCACCGCTCGGCGTCCTAGCCCGGCTCCCGCAGCCCCGAGGGCCAGCAGCGCCTCCAGCCGGCGGCCCCTCCTCTGCCGCGGGCTCCCGCCTTCCCCGCCCCTTGCAGCCGCCTCCCGGCCTCCGCAGGTTCCCGAGGTTCCCACCCCGCCCCCGCGCGCCGGCGCCGCAGGCCCCGCCGCCTACCATTGGCTCCGCCAGTTGCTAGGCGATGAACAACCGCGGCCTGCATTGGTCGGGTGGGGGCCTCGGGAGTCTCCTCCTCACCTCCAAAAAAACCCGGAGAAAAAGAAGACCTTATCCCTGGAGTCCGCGCGCGCTGCGGGCGCAGCTGCGGCTGCGGCACCTGTTACGCCCTGTGATTCACCCGGCCGTTCCCTACTCCCCGCCCCCTCCTGACGCCTGCAGCGTCCGGGGCCGGGGCTCTGCGGGGACAGGGGTCGTGGCTACTTTAGAGCACGTTTTCCGAGCCCCCACTGAACCCCAACACCCAGCCTAGCAGCAAAAGTGAAGCTTCCAGAAGAGCCACGTGCGTTTGCCAAAGTGGAGAAATAAACAGCCGGCACCTAGAATTAGGTCAGGCCCAAGGGACGGGAGGTTCAAGCGTTGGGAGTCGTGGATGCAAACAATCCAGCCGGGAGAAAGTTACTTGTAAAATTAGGGCAAAGAAATGGATCCGGGCAGAAGACCGCGGGCAAAGGAAAGACTAAGAAATGGCATTCGTGAACTCTTAGTTTATGCAAAAATGTCTTACACCCACTCTACAAAATATGTGCAATGAAAATGTATGCCTGCTGCACCCGTGGTCAGGGTCAGGCCGTCTCCTCCCTGGTTTCATGGCAGCCTAAAATTCACTGGGGAAGAAAAGAGGCCAGAGAAAGGAAGGAGATCAGATGGAGAAATCACAGGCATATGGGTTACACACAAAGATGTACTTTGATTTTTGTTTTGTTTAGTTTTGGTGAAGTCAAGGGATTTATTCAAAAGGCGAAAAACAGGTTTGGTATTTTAAGGAGGCTCCTGAGAGCACTTTGAAACCAAAACAGTATGAGTGAAGAAGATACTAACACTGAAAAACAAGAGCGGGAGGAATGTCCGCCTGCCAGTTTGCATGCACGTATCCCCAATCCTGGATGAAAGATCAAGGCCAGAAAAAGCAGAAGCAGCACGCCACGGTGACAACTTCAGGGCCCAACGAAATCCTCCTCTTTTCCTTTGGCCTAAGCAATCAGAGGCCCGACTAGCTGCTGTTGAGCCCAGGTGGCCTTACCATTAACAGTTATATTTTTAAAAGGTTTGAGCCAAGCTTAGTTGAGCTCTGGGAAGTTTAGCTCCGACTTCAGCAACCCCAGGGAGGAATAAGATCCACCTGAATAAACCAGTGGTCTCAATCTTTTGGTCCCAAGACCGCTTTCCACTTGTAAAATTATTGAGGCCCCAAGAACTTTTGTTTATGTGGGCTACAGCTATTGATATTAAAACAAATTTTTAAAAAGTTATTTTTAAAAATAAAAATGTCAAATAGCACATTTTCATTAAAAAAAACTATATTTTCAAAAAATTAGTAAAAAGAATGGTGTCACTTTAAAATTTTGCCCATATCTTTAATGTCTTGCTTAATAGAAGGCATTTGGATTTTCATATCTGTTTGTGCATTCAATCTGTTGTGCTATTTCAGGTAGCCTCTGGAAAACTCGACTGTACACTCATAATGAGAGTGAAAAAGGCAAATAATGTCTTAGTATTATAATAAAAATAGTTTTGACTTTGCAGACTCCATGGAAGGTTCTTGGAAACTTGCCTCCCCAAGGTTCAGCAGACCTTTAAGAACCACTTGTCTAAACCTCTTGGTACTCTGTCCCTCTTTGTCAACCAATAACTGGTTGAGGGGCTAAAAATATGACCTAATTCTGTTCAGTCCATAAAGGGGAGTGGAGGATGAGGAGCTTCAGGGGAAGGATTTTATCCTGACAACCTAAAGACAAGTTTTTTCCTTACTTCTTGCCTTGGACATCCTCCAGTGAGCCAGACATGTTTGGAGCTGTGGCAACGTATTCTGCAACCACGAGAGAAAAGCAAGAAAAATACATGCGTACCTTGTTTTATACTTCAATTTATTGCACTTCACAGGTACTGTGTTTTTTTTTTTAATAAATTAAAGGTTTGTTGCTCAACCCTGCATTGAGCAAGTTTAGTGGCACCATTTTGTCTAAGAGCGTGTGCTCACTTGGTGTCTCTCACATTTTGGTAATTTTTGAAATATTTCAGACTTTTCCGTTACATATGCTATGGTGATCTATGATGTCACTATTGTATTATTTTGGGGTGCCACAAACTGTACCCTTATAAGACAGCCAATTCCATGTGTGTGTTGACTGCTCCACTGACTGGCTGATCATCTCTCTCTCTCTCTCCTTGGGCCTCCCTATTCCCTAAGACACAGCAATATTAAAATTAGGCCAATAAATAACCCTACAATGGCCTCTAAGTATTCAAGTGAAGGGAAGAGTCACATATCTCTTACTTTAAACCAAAGGCTAGAAATGGTTGAGCTTAGTGAGGAAGACATCTTGAAAGCTGAGATAAGCAGAAAGCTAGACCTATCGTTCCAGTTAGCCAAGTTGTAAATGCACAGGAAAAGTTCTTGAAGAAAATTAAAAGTCCTTCTCCCTTGAACACAGGCATGAAAAGAAAGTGAAACTGCCTTATTGCTGATAGGTAGAAAGTTTAAGTGGTCTGGATAAAAGATCAAACCAGTCACAGCATTTCTTTAAGCAAAAGCCTATCCAGAGCAAGGCCCTAATTCTTCAATTCGTGAAGGCCGAGAGAAATGAGGAAGCTTCATTTAAAAAGTGAGGCTAGCAGAGTTTGGTTCATGAGGTTTCAGGAAAGAAGCCATCTCCGTCACATGAAAGTGCAAAGTGAAGCAGCAAGTGCCGATGTAGAAGCTACAGCAAGTTATCTAGAAGATCTCAAATAATTGATGAAGGTGGCTACACTAAACAGATTTTCAGTGTAGACCAAAAGAAAGCCTTCTATTAGAAGAGTATGCCACATAGAACTTTTCTAGCTAAGGAGGAGAAGTCCATGCCTGGCTTCAAAGGACAGGCTGACTGACTCTTTTGTTAGGGGCTAATGCAACTGCTGACTTTTTATTTTTATTTTTAATTTTTTGACAAAGGGTCTCACTGTGTCACCTAGGCTAGAGTGCAGTGGTGCGATCATGGCTTGCTGCAGCCTTGAGTGATCCTCAAGCAATCCTCCCACCCTAGCCTCCCGAGTAGCTGGAACTACAGGCACACACCACCGTGCCCAGCTAATTTCTGTATTTTTTGTAGAGACAGGGTTTTACCATGTTGCCCAAGCTGGTCTCAAATTCCTGAGCTCAAATGCTCCACCTACCTCAGCCTCCCAAAGTGCTCTAAGCCACTGTGCCCGGCCCCGGCTGCTGACTTTAAGTTGGAGGTAATGCTCATTTGCCATTCCAAAAATCCTAGGGCCCTTAAGAACTATCTAAATTGACTTTGCCTGTGTTCTGTGAATGGAACAAAAAACTGGCTGACAGCACATCTGTTCACAGCATGGTTAGTGAATATTTTAAGTCCACTGTTGAGACCTATGGCTCAGAAAAAAAGATTACTTTCAAAATCTCACTGCTCGTTGATAATGCACCTGGTTACCCAAGAGCTTTGCCTGCTAACACAAGATCCATTCTGCAGCCCATGGATCAATGAGTAATTTGGGCTTTCAAGTCTTAATTTGAGAAATACATTTCATAAGACTGTAGCTTCCATAGATACTGATTCCTCTGATGGAACTGGGCAAAGTAAATTGAAAACCTGGAAAGGATTCACCATTCTAGATGCCATTAAGAACATTCATGGCATTGAAGGAGGTCAAAATACATCAACATTAAGAGGAGTTTGGAAGAAGCTGATTAAAACCATCATATATGACTTTGAGGAGTTCAAGACTTCAATGGAAGAAATAACCAGAGATGTGGTAGAAATAGCAGGAAAACTAGAACTAGAAGTGGAGCCTGAAGATGTGACCGAATTGCTTCAATCTCATGATAAAACTTGAACAGATGAGGAGTTATTTCTTATGGATGAACAAAGAAAGTGGTATCTTGAGAGGGAATCGACTCCTGGTGAAGACGCTGTGAACGTTGTTCAAATGACAACAAAGGATTTAGAATATTCTATAAACTTAAACTGATCAAGAAGCAGCAGGGTTTAAAAGGATTGACTCCAATTTTGAAGGAAGCTCTACTGTGGGTAAAATGCTATCAGACAACATTGCATGATACAAAAATATTTTGTGAAAGAATCAATCCATGTGGCAAACATCATTGCATTATTTTAAGAAGTTGCCACAGCCACCCCAACCCTCAGCAACTACCATCCTGATCAGTCAGCAGCCGTCAGCATCAAGGCAAAACCCTCCACCAGCAAAAAGATAATAACTTGCTGAAGGCTTCAGATTTTTTTAGATTGTTAGCATTTTTTAGCAATGAAGTATTTTTCAATTAAAATATGTACATCGTTTTTAAAGACATAATGCTATTACATACTAATATATAATAATATAGTATAAACATAACTTTTATATGGACTAGGAAGCCAAATATTGTGTGACACCCTTTATTGTGATATTTGCTTCATTGCTGTGGTCTCGAACCGAACCTGCACTACCTCTAAGGTATGCCCGTACAGAAAAGGCAACCCCAAGCCCAGATGTTACTGAGTGACTACATTAGTCTACCTTGGCTCTGTGTATCTCTATACTGCATATCATGTAAGACAGTAAATGGCCTATTGCTTAAGCCACTGTAGGCTTAAGCCTAAGAACATTTTTAGCCCAGGGCTAAAAGAAATTGGGCTTGATAGAACTTTACTGTGGTAAGTGTATTAGGCCATTCTTGCATTGCTATAAAGAAATACCTGAGACTGGGTAGTTTATGAAGGAAAGAAGTTGAATTGGCTCACAGTTCTGCAGGCTGTGCAGGGAGCATGACACTGGCATTTGTTTCTCGGGAGGCCTCAAGAATCTTCAGTCATGACGGAAGATGAAGTGGGAGCAGGCACATCATATGGCAAAAG